ACAAAATCATTTTTAGAGCTCTTAATCTCCAGCCATTGCCTTGCCATTGTTGAAATGTTAAGAAGAGAAACTACAAAATCCTTGTATTTCCTTTCACTTGACCATCTACAGTACATCACAACCTTTTACATACTGTACATGAACGTATGTCTGGAAGACTCACAAAGTGAATAATTTTAAGGAGACATACATACCTTCCCCAAATACCTGCTGCATCCAAAAGTACTGTGAATAAAACATTACAAAATGTAAGGTCACAAGACAAGTTCTATTTATCTAATTTATATGTCCGTAATTATAATTTACACTGTATTTATCACATTTATGCTGTGCAACATAAAAAAACAACAAGAAAGAAAAAAATGTTTTTCTAATTCATTTTTATACATAGTTCATTCATAAGTTAATAAAGTGTGACAAATACTTACAACGTGGTCCTCAGCCCAAGAATAAATATCAAGAGATGGAAGAAGCTGCCAAATAAGAAAAGAAGAGATATAATACAAAACAAAATCTGAGCTGTAATAAATAATATTTTCATCTATGGCAAGATTAGTGCAAACATTTCCTTCCTGCGCCACACTCTGAACGGTATTCGAAACCCTTGACTGAGCAGCGGAGCACAAACCGGAGGAAGCAACAGGAAACTACATGCAAGTTCAATTAAAACAGAGAGCATGAGGCAGTTCTTTACACAAAAGGCTTGTGGGAGCGTGGATCAAGTTATGCAGCCATGTTATTTCAAGAAAGAGCCGGATGAGATCCTTGGATCAATTAGTTACCAGCGGCCAAAAGGACCAGATGTGCTGCATGGCCTCCTCTCATTTCTCAAATGTCTTACCTTGTTATGTTCGTGTTTCTAAATCTCTTAAGGGAATGGAAAATATAAAAGGATTTTCCTCAAAATGTATGAATTTTTCATTTTCTTTTTTTTTTTAATTGACCATATTAATTGTGTCCATATTGCCCCGCATAGACCACAACATCTCTGTATGCTAACAGAAACCAGTAAAGCACAGTAATATCCATCCATCCATCCAATTTCTAACTGCTTTATTCAATACAGGAACACAGCGGACCTTTCATGGGAAGCAATGGGAGCAAGGCAGGATACACCCTGGACAGGACGCCAGTCCATCACAGGGCACACCCAGGCACAGACATGCACACACGCACACCAGGCCGCACCCCAGGAATCGAACCCAGTGACCCAGTGCTGTGAGGAGGCAACCCTAACCCCTGCACCATCATGCCAGCCACACGGTAATATTTTTTTCATAAACCAATACATGTCTTTATACTGTACCTTCACTATGATTTAATGATAGGCCATCTTGACATAATTAAGGGAAAACACATATTTTAATTCCATTACACAGTGTATAAATTTCAGTTCCACCAGAGGACTGTGGATAAAGTCTGGTAAAGAAGTGCATCACCAGAAGACTGGAAAAGAATTGACCGCAAGTCACATGAATAATTAGTCCAAATTAGTCAGTAAATATGCTCAATCTGAAAGATTCCTGGCCTTGAGCCAAGATGGCTGGCCTCCTGTTAATTGGGAAAAGCAGCTGATTTGAATGAGAAATTGACATTCAGAGGATACCCGGATACACTCTGCATTGAATTAACCACTCCCCTAGGTTGAAGAAATTGCTTATAAGATCAGTTGAGAGGACAGTCTGTGTCTATTGGAGGCCAGAAAAAAAAAGAAAGAACACTGCCTGGAGAGGGAACTAAATTACTAAAGTACTATAATTCCAGAGGGAGTCCAAAAGAACAGCACTGAACACTTAAAACACTAAAAACTAATTTAGCAGTCTCAAGCTGTATGAGGATAGACTGTGTGCCATTCTTACTCACACTAGGAAAAGATGTTTATCTCATGATCAGATAAATGTTTTACCTTACAGGCAAATGAATTTTAATTTTAAATTTATTGACCAGGGTGACACTGTGGCACGGTGCCTAGCATTTCTGTCTTGAAGCCCTGGGGCCCTGGGTGCGATCATTTCTATGTGGAGTTTGTATGTTCTCCCTGTGTTTGTGTGGTTTTCTGCCAGGTGCTCCACAGTCCAAAGACATACTGGTAGGTTAACTGGCTTCTGGGAAAATTGGCCGTGGTGTGATTGTGTGTATGTTTGTGTCTGCGTCTGCACCTGAATCTGGACCACCCTAGTGTGAAGGACTGGTGTCCTGTCCAGGGTGTATCTTGCCTTGCGCCCATTGCTTGCCAAGATGGGCTCCAGCTCTCCCGTGACCCTGAACTGGAAGAAGTGGTTAGAAAATGGATGAATGGATTTATTTACCATTCAGTTACATTAAGAATTGTTCATATTTCACCTGGATTAATATAAAACATTGGCATTTCTCTCCTCTTATAAATGTTAAAAAATATGTTCTATAATACCATTGGATTAACAACACATATCATTATTAATTTTACAATTAATACACTGATGACAAAAGAAAGATAAGATCACTTTATTGGCCATATACAATTTCTTGGATTAGGAATTTGTCTTTTCGCATACCCCAGCTTGCTCTCCATGAGACACACAGACAGGGAGAGAAGCTTGGGGTCAGAGCGTAGGGTCAGACATTTATACAGTGCCCCTGGAGCAGCTGGCGTTAAGGGCCTTGCTCAGGGGCCCAACGGATTAGGATTCCTCTACTGGCCACGGGATACCCCGGTGGCTCTGCAGTAAAATCATCAGTGATTAATCAGGATTCAGAAACACAATCAGTATTGTAATTCCACAGGGAACCTCAACTGTAAAGGGGAAGTGACATTCTTTCCTGGAATCAAAGTAACTTTGTGTGGTTTCCATATATAAACTGAGCTCAGGAGTAACATTACTCTATTTGTGTGTGATTTTAGAAAAATACAGACATTTTGGTTACTGATTAAAGGCTTTTTTTTACATCCTTTTGGTTAATCCATCATTCATGATGTTGATTGACGGTAAGATGCTGAGGTAATGAAATCACTTGAATGTCAAATGTAGCGAAAGTCATAAAAGAGCAACGCAGGCGGTAACCCATATGGCCCATACTGTATGTCCTGTTTGTGAAATAAGCAAGACCTCAGTGCCACCAGTATGTCACCCGCTGGCTGGGGGGGTTCACAGCCAGCAATTTCTTACCCTTACAACAGGCCAAGATCTGGGAGACCCCAAGTCACAGTGCCTTGTCGAGATTGACACATCATCACGCTCCATTAACGTGAGCATTTTTTCCACACTGCCAGTTCCAGGGCCCCAGAAAGATCGGTGTTGCGGGTACAGTGCCCGCTCATTAACAGCTCATCTGTGAAGAGGAGGTTTAACAGCCACTGTCTGCAGGTCGGGCGACCACATGGCCCAGTGTTCACCAGGGCTCATCAACGCAGCAAGAAGAGGTGGTGAGAACAACTCCTCATGTGGACTCACCAGCAGTAGAGCCAAGTTCTGTGTAACAATGAATCTGGACCGCCCTAATGGTCCTGTTAAGTACAACATAGCAAATGACGGAGGAGGTCTAAGTGTGATAGTCTGGGCAGCTTACATCTACTCAACAGACCTGAGACCCCTTTACCCCTATAGGATGAACCATCTACAGGACGAACATGTGGCATCTAGGGCTCACAGACCCATGAACAGGCACGTGCTTGTCCAGGCTCTACAAAGGGAATTGCAAAGAATCCCACTAGACAGGATCTGAAACCTAATGCACAGCATGTGCTGCAGATGTACAGCATACTGAATATTACTCCCAGTGGTTGCTAGGTTGCTACACATGCTACTAGCCTGTGATTTTATTACAGTACACTGTAGGTCCCTTCTTGATCAGCCCAGTAGGTGATCAATGTTAATCAACATAAATAATAAATGAATAATAATAAATAAATTGAATTACATCATGACTGCTCAATAACATGCGAGTAAACCTTATACAAACAAGATGCATCTTCCTGATATCTTTGCGATATTTATTTCTAATAAATTTGCAGATTTACAGCATGTGATTTTAGTGTCTTTTGACATTCAGTTTGCCGTCTGGAAAGCAAGGAAGACCACTGATCCAGTGGCTTTAAATCACCTTGGCCTGAACAAACTAGACTTTTCACAACCTTAACGGATGATAATAGATGATAGATCTCACATGGTTAGAAGAGTGAATGTACAGAGATAAAGCTGATCATTTGTTTTGGTGTAAATGACTTGCGTAATTGCTAAATGCAACTGCAGAGACTGAGGGGAGTAATTTGAACGTCTCCTATTCAAGCAAACAATAAAGATATTGGATATTAGAGTGGAATATGTTATTTTATGCTTCATGCCCTTTGCAGAAGCTCAGAGAATCTTCCAGAATCGTGTTACTCATTTCATCCCTTTATCGCACAATAGTTAGGTTAGTGTGTATGAATACTTAAGCCTCGAATGGATTCAGTGAAGGTCATTGGAGATCCAAACAAACCAGATGGACATCTTAATGGACCTTTTTCACTGCTGATTCATCCATCCATCCATTTTCTAACCACTTCTTCCCGGTCAGGGTCGCGGGAGAGCAGGAGCCAATCCCAGCAAGCAACACAAGGCAGGGTACACCCTGGATGGTTTGCCAGTCCATTGCAGACACACACTGGGAAAAGGGCCAATTTTCCAAGAACCAATTAACTTATCTGTATGTTTTTGAACTGTGGGAGGAAACTGGAATACCCAGGGAAAACCCACACAAACATGGGGAGAACATGCAGACTCCACACAGATAGCACCCCAGGTCCAGAACTGATGCTAACCAACGTGCGACCCTACTGCTGATTCAGTGATGTACTGTATGATATCTATTCTCAAAATCATCTGTGGCTGTTTTCACATGTTGGGTAAAAGCAGCTGTATCTTCAAGAAAAGGACAGATACCCTTTAGCCAAACAGCATGAAAAATCACAGGAACAGTAAAATAATTCAAAGATTAAAACTATGGTAGAGTTAAAAAGAAACAGAGAAAACAGAAAAAAATCATTTCATGTCAAAAGTTTATTGAAAAATAAGTATATAGAAGAGAAAGCAGCAACACAAGAGGAGTTCACATCAAAACAAACATTTAGATAGATGTGAAATATAAATAGGATTGTACAAATTAAAATTTAGCATTGAAAAAAGTGGTCAAGCCTCAATGCAGTGCTTATGACATTGCACAGCTATCATTTTAATACTTGTGTGAAACCTCATAAATTCCCGATTTTTTCACATATTGTTTGTTCAGAAGTTGGTAAATTACTGTCATGCCATTAAATAAGCAAGAATACAAAAAAAATCCAACACAGCATATAGCATACAGTCTGCACATCTGAAATGAAACAGTTCTTTTCACAGTGTTAGGTTCTGCTGGTCTGTAGGGTTAGTATCGGCACCAGCTTGGATTACACAAGTCACTTTCTTTCAACTTTTGCCAAACACTGCTGTCCTGTTACAGTATATATAGTACACTGATACATGACATAATCTACTGAGGGGGATGGATAAAAAAATGTTCTTCAGTAGTAGTTTATTTCAGCTAAATTGTCGTACAGATTTACCTTTGGGCCTCATTATCGTCTTTTAATACAGAAGATGATATTTTTAGTTCAATACTGTTGTTTGATCTTCTGTTGGTGTATATACATATAGTTCATGGTTAATGCCTGTAGTAGATGGGATAAAAAAATGGATTCTAATGAACATCAACATTATCCTCAAGTAATCTCTCTGGAATGCAGTAAATGTCTATAGTCAGATCATAGTTATTTACATTTCCATTGGTTGCAGGCATGTGGAAGACCTGGATTGAACTGTAAGGGCCTAAGAAGTAATTAATCTCGCCTGTGTCCACAGCTATGCTTAAAAATACCTAGTCTTACATTTCCCAATTCCAGTTTTACTGCACTGAGCATCAAATGGAGACCAGGCAGTCTGCCAACACAGGGCTGTCTTTGGCTCTGTGAAATTCTGCCTTTTTACAGTTTATTTTTTAGTTAATTTGGGACACAGAAACTTTCCTGCCTTTTTTCCCCAGTGTTGCTGGCAGGTTTCTGGAATCCTCCAAAGTCTCAGGACACAAAATAGTTGGATGGGTGTGAGGGGAAGGAGGGGTTCGATTATATAACAGCAATCCATCAATTTTCTTATCACATCTTCCAATTCATGGTCGCGGGGTGAACTGGAGCCTGTCCCAGCAAGCAACGGGCGCAAGGCAGGGTACACCCTGGATCGGACGCTAGTCCATCGCAGGGCACACAGACGCAAACACAGATACACACACACTCACACCAGGGCAAATTAACCCTACCAGTGTAGAGGGACACTGGAACACCTGACAGAAAACCCATGTGAATATGGGGAGAACACACAGACTCCATGCAGATAGCACCCCAGGAACTGAATCCATGCATCCAGCTCTGCAAGGCAGTAATGCTAATGTTAAATAGAAGCATATGTATGAAGAGGAGGATGTGTATTGATAAATGGGACCGGACAGTCATGTACCTGTACGGAGTGGCAGCCAAGGGAAATATTTGGTAAGAGTAGATACTTAGGTTGAACACACATCAAAATAGTAATCTGAGAGTTTCTTCAAACTGGTAAAAATGACACATTTAAAAAACCAAGGGTATGAAGCAAACCAGCTGAACAGGGGGTTCTGAATATTACATTCTAAAAATTAACAACCACATCTGTTAAGGTCAAAAGTGGACTGCTGCCTTCTGGCTCATCAGCTGTATAACACAGAGTTCTGATAATGAAACATCCTCTCGCAACGGAGAAGGTGACACATTACTAGGGACTCTCCTTTAATGTAATCACAGGGCAAAAACCAGCTGAACAGCTTCAGAAAGAGGCTTCGAAAAAGCAGCCACCTAGTATGAATTAATTTGCATTCTTCTAGAATACAAACACACACACACACACATACACACACACACATCAGCTGCAGTGCTTTATTGCCCAAACCTCTTCCCTGGGGTGCTCTGCTGTATAATGGACACAAACCATCAACAAATCAAAATAATTTCTGATTCACCAATATTGGGAAAAAAAACTACCAAGAGGCAAACACTCTGAAGCTGTCATGTGATGCTTTTATAATGCCTTAAGGGGCATCACACTGATGATCACCTGCTACTGTGCTTGACAGTTCCCAATAACCCTTAAACATATACAGTATGAACATCTCCAGTTTCTTGGAAATGCTTACAAAGCATGTGGATCACATTTTAGCTGACACCATATTGATGTGCCACTGATCTTTAGGAATGACCATCTTCTCTTATACCAAATGTTCCAATCATACCAGATATGGGTAAACTTCTGTCAAAAAACACTGAATGCCATTTAATGTTCTCACTGTTTTATGGAAATATCCATTGTCTCACAGGGACATTATCTCATTGTATGCCCAGGGCTGTGTGGCCTAATGCATTATTAGACAAATATAATGCATTAGGTTGCTAATATACTTGAATTTCAACTAGTAATACATCTACTTGTAACTTCATATAACCAGTTTTATAATGACATAGGTATTTCTTTGTCCTGTCTACCATTCCATTATTTGTTCTACAGTATGTATAATTTAGTCCATACAGTACATTAATCATATAATTAGTTTCGAATTTCAATACCGTAGGAACCTTTAAGAACCCATGTTCAAATTTGTATTCAATTATGCAAACATGGATTTTCCTTCTTTAACAAAACAATGTATTATTACATTTACAGTGTCTATATATAATAAGAATTTTTATAAGGACTAGAATAATAGCGTGCATCATATTAGTGAAATGTCAAAATTAAAAAGGTTCTGTAGCACTTTTTATAGTCTTTATTTTTTTTTTGGTTGATTCAAACCTAGGTGTGCCCTTTGAAGTTAAGAAAATACTGCAAAGTTGCTCATTTCCCAAATACATTGCTCAGAATCTAAACAGCATCACTCACAAAAGTAGGATTTTATGCCTAAGCCTGCTTGCATGATGATGTTACAGCTGACATCACTGAAATTTCTGTGTATTTTTGAACATGCAATGACTGAAGGCAGTTAACAAAACTACTGACCACAAGTTAACTGTGAGTTAAAACACATGTCAAATCAACTGAAGGATGTAAATTGCATACCCCACCCTAGTTGGGCTACAATAAAATCAGGCATGATTAGTCGCTGTCATCAGACCAGTCAAGCTGACCCAACCCCACTGTCATGTTGAGTTTTCTTCCCTCTCTCACACTGGTGGACTTGGAGGAGTTCTGTTTGGCCTGCATGTTAATCTGCATGCCGGAGTGCAAGACAGGTCCTGTCAGGTCCATTGACAACATATTCCCAAAGCCCTTCATCATGGCCTGCAGGCTCAGCCCATCAACCTCCCCATTACTGGCGGCTGTGATCTGACAGGACATCTCGGTACTGTTTGACTCCTCTGTCTTAGACTCATAGAAAGACTCTTCAGAAATCTTTGCAGCAACAGGTAAGAAAAGCTGAGAAAAAGAGGGAAAGGATGGAAAGAAGTAGAAGTTAAAATTAGCGCATAAATCAAAGGGAAAACTAGATACTGTCGGCCACCTGTTGTTTCTTAGGGGTAAGGTGCTGATCTTAGTACAATCAAAAGAAGACTGAGATCTATTTAAATCAAATTAGACTTAATTTCTCTAGATTTAAGAGGAAGTGACTGAAGTTCAGTATAAAAGTTAAGTTATAGAGGATACAAAGAAAAATAGGCCAAGGCCAAGTTTACAGAAATGACTGGATAAATAACTCAGAATATTGAATACATCTCACTATAATTTCACAGTCTTACCAGATAAGAGATAAGAATACTTTTCTGTGCAGGGGATTATAAAGAATCCAAAGACTGGGTTCTCTTTTTGCAGTTATATAAAAACAGGTCTGAAAACAAAATAAAAGCTGTACAATTAATTATAGGCTTCTTTGAAATTTCTGTATGGCACTATAATTCAAATGAAGTACTATTTGTATTGTAAGACACGTCACAGTAGAATGACAAGGTTCTGAGCAATTTCTGGCATTCTGCTTATAAAAAGACATGGTCATGTATTTAAGTAGCAACTCCCCTTAAAACTACATGCGGTAATAAGATTTGTGCAAACATTCAGCATCTGCTTAGAATCCTGGTATAGCAGAAGGATTCCAGTGATTTCACAAGGCAGATGCAGATGCTACAAGCAACAAATCCCCTTCTAAATGCTTTCAGTCCCCTCACGACAACACCTTGTGTATTCTTGTGACTGCAATGTTTGCAAACATCCACCAGGTGAAACCCCAGGCCAAGACTGATAGCCATGCAGTGCAAGGTGACAAACAACAGACATATTACAGCAGCCAAAACCCCAATCTTAATCTGTCCACACCTCCCTTACACTCCCTCAGTGCACTGATTTAACTATCACAGTCATTTTTTCCCTGTGAAATGTTAAATGAGCTAGATAGCGGCACACAATTGTTCTTGGGATTCTCTGTACTCAGTCACAACAGCTCTAAAACCAAACGTTGGGCAGCATAAGTGCGTGTCATTCTGGTGAGTTCACCCAATTGTGCGCCTGCAGAGAGACTTAAGCGGGATACTTCAAGGAAAACACCTTAAAAAGTGAAGGAAGTTGTAGATCAGTGCATTGGAAATGTGTCGTTATTTTGACATCAATTACCAGACTATCCTTCTGGTTGTATGTAGGTGTCATTCCCTTTCATTTAGAGTACCATAAATGGAAAGAATGGTCTGTTTTGGGTATCATTTCCCTATCAGCCGTGTGGTTCGTTTGCCTTGGAAAATGTTTTGAAAAAAGGCGACAGAACTCTTCTAGAAACTGTGGGACACCATGGCAAAGCATATGCATTCACAAACAAGAACAAGATGGGCGAAACCAGGGAACAAGGTGCAAAATTACCATGCGCATGTACCGTGACAGACTGTGAGAGAGCGTCGCATCTTTAAGTGGGCAGGATTAAGTGGGATGCCAACACTGGGGCGTGACTCACCGGCGAGTGGGACTGTTCAATCAGCTTGCGCTCCCACATCCTGAGGCGCCGCTCCCTCTCCCTCAGCTCCTGCTCTTTCGTGCTCAGGTCTCGCTCCAGCTTCTTCAGCCTTTCCAGAGTGGCCTCGATCTCACACCTGCCAAGAACAGCCCAACGCTTACTGACTGGCAGGCAGGCTTAACGCCCTAGACGCCACCTGAACCATTCTAGCGTTCTGTGTCGGGGCAGACTCCTCCTCTTTTATGTCTAATTGCTAAGAAATGTTTAAGATCTCGGACGCAAACCTAGCTAGAATCATTATTGCTCAAAAACCGCAACATGTTTCCTCTATACTGACACTTCTATATATTGAAAGGAAGTGGTTATGCCCGGTAAGGGTTAATAAGATGTAAAGAGACACATCCACACAGCCGCAGGCAGGCGGTCACTCCGGCACAATGCAGATTTGCCCAGAAGGTGGCGCTGTTTAGTGCAGAGTGAGAAACTGGGTAGGGAGGTTCACTCCGTGCTGAGTCAGAGCTGCTCTACTGTCAGCTTCCAGAACAGCTATTTATAAACAGGCATGTGACGCAGCCTGAAAACCCCCACACATGGTCAACTTTTCCACTCAAGGTCTGAGCTATGCAATTGATTTTCTTCCGGGCCGGTTTACCGACCAGGAATTTCTCGTCCTCTCCCCCCGTCTCTTGTCCTCTTTTTACATCTCAGGGGTGTGCCCCCCATCCCCCCCAAGTGCCCACCCCTCCCTCACAACCTCCTGCTTCTCTCGCTGGTTCAGACAGCTGCAATGGAAATGCGGGGTGAAGAAGCCCTCGTCATGCTCACATGGACCCCTTCCAGCAGAGCCCTCACAGACACGGCAGCCAGAAACTTCCAGCACTCTGGAAGGAGCGAGGCTCGACAGCCTGTTTCCCCCACACGTGTGTTATATGCGGGTTTATTTAAAAAGGGGCCATTCTGAAGGTTTAACATTTGGCTGGAGCCTGTTTTTTCCTTTGCCAGAACACACTGGCTATAATTAAAGCAGGTCAAAAAAAAAAGAGAAAACAATCTAAGAACTTGACTGGAGCCCTGGCCTCAGAAATAACGGCCTTCTGTGACACATTACCCACGTTTTAAGCGATTGGAAGCTTGTATTTAATTGAACAACTAATTGGTGGGGGAAGAATCTGCTTTATTATAATTGCACAATAATCCAGAAATCCACCTTAAGCTAGCAAATGCTAGTACAAAACCAGTACTAGAAATGGGAGTCTCTTTTCTTTTTGAATGCACTCAGTATGGTAACACCAGTTTATTCAATTCAGAGCAAACAGTTAACTCTAGACTGATTAAGTCAAAGTCCACTTCCTAAGCTCTGTGCAGAAAACACAGCAAAGTGGAATTAATGGCTATTGTTTCATCATCCTGCTTCAGTATTTGCTAAGGCCATGCACTATTACCCAGGACAGAGCAGCTGCAAAGTCTCCCTCTTGATTATAATAAGTAGTAGCAACTGTTCTCAGCAACACCTGTTTACTCCAGGTAATAGAATCTAAATTATTTTGTCAGTGTGGGGGAATCTGAAGCGTTTTAGATGAAGATAACGCCGAAGATCTCATCATTTCAATCTCCTCTGAGCACAATCAGCCCTCACAGATGTTTATTTGCCAATTCAGCTGCCCTGCAATCCAGTTCTCTGTCTGTTTCAGGAACAGACGTGCCTAATCAGACCAGCTCTCTGTGGATCTGCGCTGCTCCCCTGAGTTTCTGACGCCAGAGTTAACATCAGCATGCAGAATAAGCATGTACAAATTAAAGTAATATTTAATACTATGTTTCAAGAAGAGATGCTTTACAAAAGGGCAGTCACAGAGAAAACCTGCGGTAACATTTGGTATACAAGCCCCTCTATACCCCATTCTTCTCTTCCTCGTCTAAAAATCGCACTTGAGGGAATTGCCTGATATAGTTTTTAATTATTATTTTAGATCCAATGAGCTCTACAGCCAGGCTCTGCATTCTGTTTGTAATTACAATTAAAACAAAAGACAATTCACCCCTCTACCTTCGCAGCAAATGCAGACAGGTTTGTTAGTGTGAATGTCAGGAAAAAGATCACAGATCTCTACAAAGACAAGACCAGGAACAGATCATGATGAAGTTAACAAGATGGTACCTCCACTCTGCCTTATTGTGCAAGAAGGAATTGCACTGGTCAGGAAGTTGGCTGTCATTGGACATGGACTCCAGGGTCATGATGATCTGTTTAAACATTGGCCTTTTCTGGAACACAAAAACAATATCATTACTTAGATCTATGAATTCAGTACAAGGGCATAATTATGTTAACTGGTAGAAAGAGCCCTATAAGCTAAAAACATACAGCTGACATTCTTTTCTGAATGCCAGAGCTTTGTTTAGATAATAGACATCTGTAGGGAAACTCCTCTCACATCTCTCACAAATACAGTATACAGTATGCACTGCATTTCATCTGGCTGGTAACGTTTAAAGATTAAAGCCTTAATCCTAACATTAACTGAACTTACTTACTGAAGTTCTATGTCTAGTATTACAAGTTTATATTTAATGGACTATCTTAGTTGATATATTCCTATAATATTTTGGCTATAAATTCAGTGAAAAAAACATCACCACTCGTAACTTTCTGTCCTGTAATGTTGACATACTGCATACTACACAAGACACTAATTAATTAATCATTTGAGTGGAGAGCTGTGTCAGCATGGGTTGGCTGCAAAGGAGAAAGTTTGCGATTTTTCTTTTCATTCTACTTTTCAGCATGGAATTAGCCTTTACTAATTAAATCATGTGTTTAATAAATCTTATATTACTGCCAGAATTATTTTATAACAGTCCTTCATGGGTTACAATTTGGCTGAACAATAAATAACTATCCATATTCTGCCCATTCTATCCATGTCTTTCCAGTATTAGAACAGAAAAATAAACATCTGTGTTAAATAGCATTAACGCAGAGGAAGCTGGCATGTTACAGTTACTAAAAACATTTAACCAAATCTTCAGGGTCATTTAACCAAATCTTCAGGTCCTATAAGAATCCTACAAATTTTATTTGAAGAATCAACAGAGGTTATTCATAGGTTGTTGACAAACTCTTGAGTCACTCAAAATACAGTAACACTAATAAAACTGAACCAAGAATTTAAAAACCAATAAATCTGTGTCACAGAATGTCACAGAAACAATAAAAAGATTAATCTCATATAGAAATCGGAAATAGTTGGCATGGATTTGGAAAAGGCTGGTTTTGCTAAACTAACGTATTTAAATCTGTTAATTAAGCAATAGCAGAAATGAATAAAAATAGAGTAGATTATATAGTACATACAGATTTTCAGAAGGCTTTTGACAGTCCCTAAAAAAAGTTAATTCTCGTATTGCAGACAGCAGCCATTCAAAGAAATGTGTGTATTTAGATTAACTGGTTATTGGATAAGAAAGTCAGTACAGATAAGGGGTGTATGTTCAAACTGGAGAGATGTACCACAAGGATCTGCATTAGGGCTGCTGCTCTTTCTAATTTATATCAATGATCCAGATGAAAATGATCAGAAGTTTACAGATGATAACAAAATAGGAGGCTACACAAACACCGCAGCTCAAAAGGAAATTCCATTTTCAACAGTATTGAGCATATTCATTTTCTTACAATGTTATAATTTTTTAACACAGAGGCATATTCCAATGGTTGATACCATAGACCTGGAGAGTGTCTCAAATACCTAACAAGCTAACATCATGTCTCATTGTCTCAGAGCATCTCTCTCATATGAAAATGTTTTGCTGTTTTTGTTCTTTTGAAAACAGTGTTATTTACAAACACAACTAATTCATAATTATCTACTATTGTGTCTAATCTTGTACTGTAGTACCACTTTTCACTAGACTGTAGTTGGCGTCACCTCCAGATAACCTGTTTACTTGTCATAAGCCTTCAGAACAGCCCAGTGAAATTCACTATGTTTTTGTTTTATGAGTTCATATAAAGTGATAAATGTGATATGATTCCAACCATTACAATTAAACCCTTTAACAATCTGAAATTCAATCAATTCAATCTCTAATCTTTAAGCAATTGCGGGATGTCTCCTTCACAAACTAAGCTCACCAAACAGGTCTCTCCTGAAACTCCAGCAGTACATGATACTTTATTTCCAAAAAGTGCCTCTGCTTGGATTAAGGGTCTGCTGATTACAGAATGGATTCAGTTACTCCCCAAGAGTGTGCTGTAAATCAGAAAGCTGGTAGCTGTAGCTGTCACCCCACACTGAAAACAAGAGTCACTTACCTTTGGCTCAGTTTCCCAGCATTGCCTCATTAATTCAGCGAAACTGGCCGGGCAGCTGCTGGGAATGGTTAACCTCTAAAACAAAAAAGGAGATGTTTATTGTCAGTGTCGTGAAACCTCTTCATCAATGCATGCCTCCCAATAAGCTGAGGCACACAGTAACTCCACAAAATGTTCCTCCAACAGCAGGAGCACAACAATATACTGCAGCATGTTGGATTTTAACTCTAGCTTTCCATCTTTATCGCTCTCATTTCGGGTGTTCAATCTCCATATGAAATGAAGTATCATGGAGCAATTCTTTGAGATGAAATAGATAAATAAAAATACAGAAGAACCCCCAAAAACATAAGAATATTTACAGGTTGAGGCATCTAGTGTGTCTGAGTTTTAATAGCTATTTCTTGAAAGAAGCATTTTGTTAAATCGATTGCACAACAAACTAATTCTGCTGCAGTTAAAATATATAAGATTAAGCTAAAAGAAAATTATTTTTGAACCCTTATGTGGTTTGCCTCCTGCTATGGTAAGTTTTAATGATAGGACAATGGTGACTGCTATCTTACAACATTGTCTGGCTCAAGCTGTTTACTTTTTAAGGCCGGTCTATTTAAGGAAAGGTTGTGAACTGCCTGGAGGAGTGATTTTGAACCACAGAACAGAATACAAAAGGTGAGCAAGAAAGTATTATCTAGTCTAAAGTACGTACCATATCTTAATATTCTAGATTTTCTCAAACAAAATGTGTCTATTCAATACACCCATAGACACACATATAAAGGTAGTGGACAAAAACATTGGAAACCCAGATATAACATAGTTTTAATGGGGAATTGATCCACGATGTGCCAGAATGGCCTGTATGTGCTATGGCATACAGTCTATCAGCAGGTGGAATTGTGCCGAACTGTGGAAGCACCATTCTTCCAAGAGGCAGACAATCAACGCGTGTCTGCTTGATGGAGATGGGACCAATCACCCAGGGCTGTAGATTAGGGCCACATATGCACTTGTTTGTTGAGATCAAAATGAAGGATGATTCATCTGAACATAACTCACAAATGTACATTGCAAGGTCTGACTGGTTTGTGCACTGTAGCCTGACAATGGTGTCCAGCACTGTGCAGTTCACAACGGACTGTTTTTGATCAAACTGCTTGTTTGCATTGCAGGTTGGGAGTTGCAGTCCATTGGTCTGCCAATCGCCTGTTGTGCCTTGCATTTCAAGTTAAGGCACAGATATCACAATAGGAATATGCGTTTCTGCCCACTGATGATGACCTCTTCCTCTCAGAGCTCCAAGCTGACATCTTGTTAGACACCATTGAAGCTCCTGCCAAACTTGCCCCAACAATCACTGAGGTCTCCTCTTGCAATCATGATAGCCATAATTATAGGCATCCCTAGCATATTCATACATTACCCTAAGCATGCTGGGATATTATTTGTTTAGTTAACACGTGAGCCACATCTGTGTGAAGCCCTTGCTTTCAATAGACTTAGTGTCTCTCATTTACCCAGTTGGTACCATTTTTGTCCACTACATGTATAGAGATATATATAAATACAATAGATATACCTGACCGTATATTTTGTATACATAAACACACACATCATGTGTTTAAAATATACTGTTTTCAAATTCTAGAAAAGCACCATGAGGCTGTTTTAGTGTACAACACTTGACTTCATTTGCCTACAATATGCAGGCTGACATCACTGTGGAATTCATGTGTGACTCCTATTTTTGCAGACGCTAAAGAAAGAAAGTTATTTAACAGGTATTAATTCACTGCAGTGGTTGGGCTTTTAACTCCTTGAAATGGCAGTTACAAGTTTGCATATTGTTACATTTATTTGAGTTGGAATTGTTTCTTGCTAATTAATTTGTGCACAATTCACTTTTCAAAAAACAGTATGTACTCTGCATGATTACATTATTGGCTTATTACTGTACCTCATTTTTTTCCACCACAAGCCAAGCAACTTGCAATCCTTCCAGACCCTTAAAAGGAACTTCCTGTGTAAGCATTTCCCACAGAACCTGTTAAAGAAGCAAAGGCATACTATTTATTTCATTATAAACATGGAAGCACATAAAAAAGACTGCAGCTGCCAAAAATCCAATAGCAAGGGTGTTTATGTTAATAATATAATAGTATTATTGTATATAGTGTCTATATATACTATATTATATATAGATAATACAATACTATATTATGTATTATTCATTTCCATTATACTATTAGGCAACCTCACTAACAAAAAAACAGCTTGAAGGTAAAAGTATGGTAAATACTTGTTTCTAAGCAGTAACTTAGAAAAGTATGCAGTGAACTTAACAAGGCTGATAAACACGGTCGCCCTTCTGAACCAATTTCGAACGAGCTGATGTGAACAAGATGGACATTAACTATCCATCCATTTTCTAATGGCTTCATTCAATTCAGGGTCGCAGGGGAGCTGGAGCCTATCCCAGAAAACAACGGACGCAAGGCAGGATACGCCCTGGAAAGGACACCCGTCCATCGCAAGACAGACACACAGAGGCGCACACCCTCACAACAGGGCCAGTTTTGTTCCAGAAAACAATTAACCTTCCAAACCCACACAAACACACTGACACTTTGCCACTCAGGAATCACATCCTTAAGAGGGTCTGAGCCAGTGAGGGGGGGCTCTGATTCTGAAATGTGATCATGGACACTGAATGTCCATGTGGTCTGTCACACTACGTACTACAGAGCCTATCCTCAGCGGTATGGAATGTGGGCATGGAAACAGTTTACAAATCAGTATACATAGTTACAGGAATCCCAGAGTCCTCCACCTTGTCCTTTCCCAGAGGGATAGTTTGGTTAAAGGGGCAAATGTAACACACAGATTTAATCATAAATCCATCTTAAAACCAGGTATACTTAGACAGATAATTAATAAGAATATATACTGAACATGTTTTCCTTATCTATCAATAATTTATAATGGTTACAAAGGGTAATTTTTGGGCTTTAAGATTCTACCAGGGACCTGACTTTAAAGGTGACAGCTTTACAACGATGAGCTGAAAACGGGTTTAATCCTAAATGAGCTACAGTGCTCTCCAAATCTACTGATTCATTCCAGATGAAAAAGGAACAAAAGTCATTATTCAATGCAAAGATGGCATGACGTGTCCTGGTGAATAAAATCTAACTATGTCATACTTTAAGCTTATTCACATTGTACAGAGCGAGGGAACTGTAAGTTGGAAGGCTCATATCGACACACGTGATCTTTAACTGCCTGCCAACAGTGCCTGATCTCAGGACGCTAAGTCTGGGGTGCTCAGGTCCGCTCAACTGCCTCAACATCCCGCACCACCAGAATATCTATTTGCTCCCACTTTTCCCCACCCAGGGACTGGGAAGCTGTTCCAAGGCTGGAGTAGCGAGTTCAAGCTTAGAGAACTTGCTATCCATTGCCAGGCCCATGTCCGTGTGGGTAGAGACCCTGGCTTTCCGTTCTGTACCAGCATGTTTAGGGCCTGATCCTGCTGTTCAGGGTTAGGGGTGCCGCCGACCATCAGCTTTGATGTTTTAACCCATGTTGTGACCTAGGTTTCTTCACAGATCCATGAAAACAGCCTTGTCTTTCCCCCATCCTAGCACAAGCCGTGCGGAGGGAGGAGATGGAGCCCCTCCAGGCCAATCGCTGCGGCATCACTCATTACTCACCACGCCATAGGAATACGTGTCACACGTCTCCGACACTGGGAGGCTCTGGATCACCTCTGGGGCCATCCAGGGAAAGGTTCCCACCAGAGACATGTGGGTCGTGTGCGAGTGAAACCTCGAGGCGCCAAAGTCGCAAATCTGGCACAAACCAAGAAGCAGTTTAGCCGTCTGTAGCTTGCACTTCAGTATTGATGAAATGGACAATAATTATAAGAAACTGCAATGATACTAATACCTTTAGCACTCTGTCAGCAGTTATAACCACTGCAACAAAAACAAAGACATTTGCAGTTAAATATACTGTATGTAAGAAGCTTGATTTTTAAAAGATACAGCTGCTGTCATTGGTAAAAGAATCAAATACGTCAGTATGTTAGCAGAAATCAACGTTTTGTTTAAGAAAACTGAGCTTTTTTTAACTGATAATGATTTTAGTCCAGTATGGAAGAGGCAGTCTTTCCTCTTAACCCTGTGTTTCTGTGGCCCTGCTTTCCTGACTCATGGGAAACAAAGGCAAACGGGACACTCCTGAGACTGTGCATCTTTATGCTCTGTGAACCTGAAGCTTTAGTGCCAGCTAAAGGACAGGCACAGATCACAATCTCCTTCCGTCACAGGAATCATGACAGCTCAGCCCAAAGACGATCCCACCACGAAACTGAAACCCTTTCAGTCTGGTGTGGCATGTACTGGATTTCCCAGCTGACTCTTCCTGCACTGTGAATGGTGTGAAAGGAGAGCTTTTCTGGTGCTGTGTAACATTCTCAATAACAGAACTAAACTTAGTTTAGTTAATAGGAAATAAGGAGTTCTCTACAAGAGGAAATAGATCTTTAGGAGAGATCTTAAAAACTACAGTACAAGTAAATTAAGTACAAGTAAAAACATATAGCGTAAACTACGAGCAAAAATCAAAAGAAAAGAAGAATTCTTATCAAAGTGCCCAGTAAAGGGTGACTTTACCATTCCTGGACTTCAGATCCCTGTGAATTACCCGAACTGGAGCTTCCATGTGTAAATAGTGCATTCCTATGAAAAGGTAGGAAAAAGAAAAGGCAAAGGGGTGATATAATTAGCAGAGTATCACAGGAATCTGTATTCGGACCACTGCTCTTACAGGTAGTATGATTCTTACAGGGTGTAAAAATTCAGAATACTATGAGGGAATCTGATTCAGGTATTCAAAGTCCTCGAAGGCACTGACAAAGTCAAACCGATTGACTTCTGCTCAATCAATGGTGAAACACAAATAAAAGAACACGAATGGATGTAGATTTAAAATTGAAGACAGAAAGCATTACTTTTCAATTGGAATGTATGAATCTAAAAAAAAACTACGCTATCATGTCTATTCTCATTTGCAAACTTTCTTATGTACTCATGTAGACAGCTATCTCTTGATTTTCATGATTGCTGTCTTGCCAAACTGGGACATTCTGGAAATATCTGCCAGGTTCATTGCATTTTTTACCCACACACTGCTAACTCTTCACGTTCAGCCTTTACCCAAACTCAAACAATTGTTGACTTAGCACATAAGCATCTGTTCTTAGCTTTACATATTTCATTTTTAAAGGACAGTTTTTTTTCGGCACTTGATGAGTTCAGAGGAGAATTGCCTCTCAAATATAAACTTTTATGTCTGAGAGGCTTTTCACAGCATTGTGCACTGATCTGTTGTGGACATTTTGCTAGTACTGCCTTTGATTTATATCAATTGCTGACTTTCATCTGCTGTTGGAATTTAACATATACTGTATAGTAAATAGGTGATGAATAATAAAGAGGGCTACAGTATATACAGAATTACTCATCTGCCCACTAAACACTGGGACCGTGTGGATCAGTCAGAATCCTACCTTTGGCTATTTCCATGGCCCAAGTCATGATCTGTCCAATGTCCATGTCCTCACTCTCTTTACTGGACAGGTAGTCATATAAACAGCCTCCAGATGCATATTCTGTAAGAAAGCAGATGTCACTGTACTACCATTCACTCTGCAGTGTAAAATAACGCACAGCCTTCACAAGTTCCAATTCGAGAAAAAGAACAACGTGCTTGTTAGTCTATAAATTCCATGGAACAAACTGCACTTGGCAGGGGTACCTCAAGTACTTTATCTCAGGAAGAGAAGTAAGCAGCTTTTGGTGAGGACTGCAGTGCGTGATTGGAGACAGCTGCAATGAGGACTTGCACATCCTGAACAATGTGTAAGAAGAAACCAGGTTGGTTCTGCTGCTCCCTGCACCCCTACATCTCGCAGTGAGTCAGCTCCTAATATACTTAAGCCTGGAATTTAAGCTTTTTATCAATTTAATGTTGAAACATTACATCTGACAATATCAGTGACAACAGACAAAAAGCCTTTTCTGACACACACAAAAAGGCACTTTCGCATACAGTAAATGCAACTAGTTTTAGATATGGAATTTGGTTTGGTAAATTAAAACACAATACAATGTAGTACAATACAAACATTCAACATAAAGCCAATGATAGATAGAATCCTCCCAATACATCATCAGATACCATCTTAAAAACCAGTAGCATAATAAATAGCAGTGAGAGCTTGAAAAATCTATATTAATACTTGAACTTATACAGTCTGTTTAGGTAGATTGTGCTGTATAGCACAAATCCACAGTGTCACTTTTTTATTAGGCAGGGTAACCTCTACTCACAGCTGGAAACCCCAGATATTTGAATTTAAAATGACAATAAATTACAATACTTTGAATAGACCTAACAGCAGGTTTACCACAGGAAGCAAGCCTATCACTCTGTCTAAATGTGCCTAGAGGCAATCGATGTCAAATCTGAAATTTCATCTGTCAGTTTTTTACATTTGCTCTTTAGGAGACGTCAGATCTTTCACACAGGGATCCTGTTTTAGAGCTTCAAATCTTTGAAAATAAAACTTGCTGGGTGAACTTGAGCGATGAGGCTCTTCGCCAGGCTGAGCTATCTGAGCTACTGATGCTGATGGGGTTTGAACAGCCTGACTGTGCCAACACAAACACATCAGGCATCCGAGAAGCAAACACTGAGTTCCTTTTCACTTGTGGATTGGTCCTTTGCATAGCACTTGTACGGTAAAAGCAGTATAATCTACCAAAGTCTCTTCTACAGTAAAGAAACTGGAAAATGTTCAGGATTTTTCAATTTCCAACTACTGAAAACGATGCAAATAATAAGAAGGACTGGGACAGGTTTGAACAGTGGATCACTGTACGAGGAGAAAGGAGAATGTGAACTCGTGCACACGTTTTTCCACCATGCTCTGGTTTCTAAGGCACTCCTCATTTGACAGATTACAAGCTCGCAAACAAACTCCCTGTCTGTGTGATCTTATAATAAAGTGATCTAATGTTGCGTGGCATATAGTGCACCTCAGCACCAGCACCAGCAAAATCCCAACTACAGGCGGTTAATGACAAACCTCAAGGGCCAACCAGCTACAACACAGCAGATTTGCTAGTTTACCCACAGAGGATTCTCTTTTTAATTAATTAATTGCTTACACTTACATAGCACTTTTCTGGACACTCCACTCAAAGCGCTTTACAGGAAAATGGGGACTCCCCTCCACCACCACCAATGTGCAGCATCCACCTGGATGATGCGACGGCAGCCAAAGTGTGCCAGAATGCTCACCACACATCAGCTATCAGTGGGGAGGAGAGCAAAGTAATGTAGCCCCTTCATAGAGGGGGATTATTATGAGGCCATGATTGGTAAGGGCCAATGGAAAATTTGGCCAGGACGCCGGTGTTACACCCCTACTCTTTTCGAGAAACACCCTGGGATTTTTAATGACCAGAGTCAGTCAGGACCTCGGTTTTATGTCTCATCAGAAGGACGGCTGCTTTTTACAGAATAGTGTCCCCGTCACTATACTGGGGCATTAGGACCCACATAGACTGCAGGGTGAGCGCCCCCTGCTGGCCCCATGACACCTCTTCCAGCAGCAACCTTAGTTTTTCCCAGGAGGTCTCCCGTCCATGTACTGACCAGGCTCACACCTGCTGAGCTTTACTGGGTTGCCAGTTGTGAGTTACAGGGTGACATGGCTGCTGTTAAAACTTTTATTATCAAATCTCTCCCTTTAAGTGTTATTATGATGGGACGCTTGGGAAAAAAACAATAAGTCACAAGTGTTTTTTTTTTTGCAAAGACTTTTAGCTGCAAAAGAAACACCTTATAAGACAAAAATAAATAAATTGGTGCTTTAACACTGCAAGACAATTAGAAAATAAAACCTTAGACTGTTTAACATGTAGTGTGTTTTTGTCTGGTTTTCTATCAAATCAACAATATTGCTAATCCAACCCTCTTATTTGACTGTAACCTAGCCGTCTACGTTTGTGATACAGATAAAAAATTACATAGTTTTTTTAAATGTAATCAAACATCCAGCCTGAAAAACCTACTAACCTGAATAATCGCATTGAATACATTCTGCATGAGTATTTCAATAGCTCCGTAGGTTCTATTGAATCTATTTACTGTAAGTACTACATCACATTATTTTTGCAAATATACAAAGCTATAAAACTATCCAGATCTCTCTAGTCTAAACCTTGACAGCTGGTCCCAATGAATCAGCACCGAACCTTGTTGTCATCCTTAACGCACCACTATCTAAGAATAACGTGCTGATTTTCAAGTGCATGATCTGAATGGTCACACAGCGAACTGATGAGCCTAATCTGCTCATAAAAATGCCTGGGGTTGTATTACAAACAACCAGGGCAAATGAACACAGACTGCGATGCTAAAATAACTGCAATAAAATCTGAAGAGGTTTAGAAATTGGTTATTATTTGTATCATTTTACAGTATATCAACTGGAAGCTGCAGCAGCCATGGTCTAGGGTCAGTCCTCCTTCTGTCCTCTTTCACATTCTTTATCAGCTGTGTTGTGTGCTCTTCCAGTACGGAGTGATATGATTATTCTAACCTCTATAAACCCTAGGTTTTGTGACTTCCCGTTTTTGACAGGGCATTATTTAAAACAAACAGGTCCAGCTTTATCAGATGGTCATCTGTAAAGTTGTACATCTTCCTACGCGTCTCAGTAGCTACACGAAAACTGAGAAGAACGAAGAACAGATTTTTTCTTTTGTGATATAACTATGATCCTCTCAACTGATTTTAGCTTAAGACTTTGTGCTCTTCTGCAGCAGAGAAGGCTTACTAATTTCAAACTCCCCCGCAGTAGAAATATATGACTGTGTATACTGTGCTCGCATGATTAGGCTTACTTTGGTTCATTACTGAATACAACAACCGGGCACGAGGTAATTAAATCAAGACTTATAACTAACATTTTTCAAAGCCTACTGCACAACAGTAATCAAGGACAGGAGCCCTAAAATGGATATGGCTACAGCTGGAACTGTAGTTTGTACCCCAAAATTAGCACCTTCAAGGCTAAATAATACACAGTTAAGGACGTGAAGGCAACAATTCAACACAGTTCTTGAGTTCCATCTGACAGAATTCCGATTGTGCTTGTGGATTATAGTTGTACGATCAAGGACGGTGGCTAAATGTAGAGGGGAACCTGATGACATGTTGTGAAACACAATGGGAATTACCAGCACTTAGGAATTATTTATTATATTATTATTTATTTTAATCAAATTATTAAAATATTATAACCATGTGCACTGGCCAAATCCTTCTATATCTGTTTTTTTGGACCTCCTGTCGACTTCTAGGCAGAATTAAGGTAACCTGGATTTATATGTTGCATGTTAATAACGTATATACTGTATATATTCACCGTGTAAGCTTTATGTGTTACATGTCTGTTTTTTTCTTTTGCAGGGCAGAGAAATTTATTTTTACACAATAATCAATCTAGAACCGCTGTATATATTAGACAGATAACATATGTCATAGCAAAGCTACCAGCTGAAAACTAGACTGTAAAAATGTAACATTTATAATATCTTTATCACTACTGTTTATTGGCAAGCAGTAATGGGACATCTACTGTATATCAGACCACAAATAAAAATTTATAGCTTTGCTGATGATGTGAATGAACAAATATTTTTGTCTACCTGGTGCTAATTGGATTTTGCCTTCTTAAATATTTAATCTAGTTCCCTGGCAACCCGTCAGATTCTCATAATGAAGTTACAAGGCTTCAGGTAATGAAAGGAAATTATGATGTGACAGACCTCTGAAAGAAGATCTTAGTAATGCTCTTTCATAACCAATACAAGAATTCCAGACGTAACGCTTTCTTCTATTAATACTGAAGAAATACAGCTCAGACGTCTTGCAAAAAAACGAGTTTGCAATATGCTTAGTGGAACACCTGTTTCCTAATTTCTCCAACAGTGAATCTGAAGTCCTGCTGAGAGTTTCTCTGTTTCTCTCTGTCTCGCACAACCGATACAGATATAAAGGAAAGCTGATCTATTCCAAACAGTATGCCCTGCTAATGTGCCGCTCGCTTTAATAAGAATACTAATAATTTCTCGCATTTATATTAATCCAAAAGGATTGCATTACACTTCACATACAGGAAGAAAATCACTTTCACCTCTGAGGCAGAGAATCCACATGGAGTGAGACACAGCAGCCATTATGTGCTAAAATGTTCACTACACATCACTTCCTGACAAGTTCTAAATACCATAGTAAGCTTCTTTCTCTTCTTTTCATTCATTTCTCCCATCACCCCTTTTGTAGCTACCCCTAGGATAACTCCTCACTCTTCATGGGGGTCATAGCCGTCTGGTCCTATGGCCAGTGCAAGATGTCTCATGACTAACTTCTCTAAAACTAAAAAACAAAACGCTCAGTGCTGCAGACATTGAGATGGTGCAGTATCCAAGAATCTTAAGATCAACTAAAGGCAATAATACCAGATTTGTTACTTTACAAAATAATATTGGTCATGCACCATACTGTATATCATTAGATAAACACATTGTATTATTTAACTTCATACAGGGACATTTGTTCATAAAAGCAGTTCAATCAATAAATGCTTCACATCATGTGTAAGCAGACACCGAATAGCTGAGCTGACAGGTGTGCAGCCTGACAGAATTGGAATCTAGCTGGCAGTACTGTGGAGAAAGGCAATTTGTCACTTAATTGAAGCTGTGGGGAGGAAAAACAGCTCAAGATTCAACTTCAATGATGTTTTTGTGATGCGAAATGATACAGCAAAAAAATCAAGTAAAAAGATGTGTTGGGATTAAAAAAGTCTACACTGTAAGTAACACACATATTAAACATTTAACAATGCAATTTAGAACCTACTGCATTGAGAAGTAAAAGAGTTCTGGAAATATCACTGTTTATTTTGTATCGGTAACACACATATTAAACGTTTAACAATGCAATTTAGAACCTAATGCATTAAGAAGTAAAACAGTTCTGGAAATACCACTGATTATTTTAACTGCCATAGGCTGGTTAATGTTATGCTTGCTTTTTAATAAGCTGTTTACCCCCTATTGATAAATCTATGTCAGAGCCTCGTGTGCCAAAGTGTGCAGAGACAAACAGAAGATATAACCTTACCTGTTACTATGCCATAATTAGGTGCTTCAAGAATAGCTCCATAGAACTGGATGATGTTTCTGTGGCTCAGAACACTAAGGATTTCAGCCTGATAAAGAAATATGGAAATGGGAAAATGCTGTAATTGTTCAATGTCACAGGAAGAGTAGAAACCTTTCTTTAAACAAGTTCAGACAAAAGAAGTCAGGTTTTGGCCCAACAATGTAAGTGGGGAACTGTAAGTGGAGTTTTCCCCACAGGTGGAGATGGTTTTAAAGTGCATCTCTTTCCTTTACCCGTCCCCTTTCCTCTCCTTCCACTAGGAGACTGTGAACAAACAGTTCACACTTGGAAGATAATCACATCGTGGCAGGATCACTAGGAAAAGCTGCCAACTACTTCTGTGATAAAAAAAAAACCTCAACATAATTGAAAGAACCTGAAACCCACAAACAATCTGGCTCACAGCAGATCAGGAAATCTTTTTTTTTTGATAGAGGGAAAATCCAGTGAGCGGTAAATTCCATCTAAATCCTCAGCCTGGGGCAATGTCTGTAAGGTAAAACACCAAGGCGAGGAGCCAACAAAGCTCAAACCTCTGTCGTCGCTTGACAGATTTACTCCTCAAGAGCCCTAAATGACCTAGCGCATGTGACGCAGGAGGTGAATCAAGAAACTTTTACAACTTTCTTTTCCCCGAGTTTCCTTAAAGCCAGCACCATCTGAAGCTGTCATTACCACATTTGTGAAACACCTTGAAATACTGCGACACACACGCCAAGATTCCCCCATGAGTGCAACACACACAGGAAGGAGTCAATGAGGTGGTTAGATAAAACTTTTTATCAAGACAGTACCATCATCATTTTGGAATAATTAAAGGAACTCATGCCTTAAGAGGGTTTAATTTGATTTAATTATGCCATACTTTGTTTCTAAAGGAGGCTACCCTCAGAGTATATGCATATCTTTGCATAAAAAGCAATGTTCTCACAAAGAAACAGTACAATCGCTTCTGAGCAAGGGGGTGTTTAATGACTGTGCAACCGATGGGTACAAAAGTTACTACAACCTGCTTAATAGCAGAGCAATTAAAATGGTTATTATACATGATTTTTAAAAAATACATACATAAAAAGCACAAGCAATTATAACTCCTACCTCTTTTTCAATTTTGAGAAGCTTCTTCACAGCCACTTCTTTGTCCTGTGAGATCCACTTGGCTCGATACACGCAGCCAAAGCTACCTCCACCACAGTTCTCATAAAAGAGGATGTCATCGAATTTGATTTGCACAAACGAGGCACTGAGAGACGACATCTCATAATGACACTCGATGCCAATTCACGTTCTGGAGGGCCAAAGAGAGAAGAAGCAGAAAGTAGGTGAGTGCTCTGTTAAACATTAAGCCTCTTTTCCGTGCTCATTCAAACACAGGGTTCAGTTATCTCTGTCTCCAGGCTGAAGAGACTCGAGTTCTGCTACAAGCACAGCTTGGCTGGAAGCTGGTTACACATGAATCCAAATACTTACAGAGCCTTTTGACCTTCTCCTACTACCTCATGAAATCATCGGCTGATGTCCAGGGCTGTAATATTGTAGATTTCACCCCTTTGATTTACACAGCAGCTCCTTCCAGCCTAAGGACACTCGAGTCTCCAGGACCTGTGTTCCTGCTCTCCGAGCAACTGAGCAGTTGTGGCTATGCTGTGAGCTTGTACTGTATAAGGCTTCTGGAATCTGAGGTATGCATTCTCTCTGTGCTGTGATCACTTGGCACAAAATATACTCGGCTGAAGAGACTAAATATTCTGGCACATATTGGATTAGGTGTATGGCATATTGGATTAGGTGTAGGATGAAAGGACGGAGCTTTTAAAAAAACGTGAATACTGCAGTCCTGCTCCTACTAACAATTTTAGTCTCAACAAGTAATTGATCTTCATTTAAAGGTTTGGCAGAAGGACAAACAGTATGTAATTTAAAAGTAAAGCACGCTCTGGTTTTCAAGGTGTTTTATGATGTAGTAAAACTAGAGAAGACAACGGAAATGCATTAACAAAAACTTACTGTTTGGACCCTGTCTTTCAGAGACTAGAAATAAGTTTAAAAACAAAGTCTCTGAATGCACCTCAGATCAATTGTTTCCCCATGTCAATGGCATTAATATACTGTACGGTATGAAATCTTTCAGTAGGTCATTCCGTGTTAAGTCTATCAAAATATTGTGAACATGTCATGATGCAGTATATTTGATATTCTGATGGAAAGTGGGAAAGTGTTAATAAATGCAATTTTATGTAAAAAATGTTAAATTTCAAGAGGAAACTCCTTATAATCTGACATGGTTGTTTACTATATACCTAGAGGAATACCAGCCCTTTCTCAGGTCTGTAAAAACACAATCCGGCCTAATAATTTTAAAATGCAAGTATGACTAACATTCACACACAAATATCTATTAGTCACAGAAACTAAAAATCAATATAATAGTAAAACGCACTTGTAGTAGTTCTGCGGAAAGTAGCTCAATATGTCATTAAGAGATCTTTTGCAAATGAGTTAAAACGTGGTATCAAGTTGAGATTCACACACAAGGAAGTCATACCATTGATCGTACAGGGGCTGGCCTTGCCTGGCTCTCATGCCACAGCTGGCACATACTGTATAGACCCAGGGCTTTTCCTGACCCACCCAACTCTTTTATCAGTTGACACAACAGAGAAAGTGGCAGCTTGAAATCGATAAGCCCCTCCTTCAAGTTTTACAGGAGGAAAAAAAGGCAGGTGTTATGGACATAACAACATTTCAATATTCAAAGTGTCAGCAAAGAAGGAGACAGGTGGTTTTGCTTTGTAGAACCTATTTGTTTGTTTTCAGTGTCATGTCTTAAATGTACTGTAGTTTATGTACTGCACACTGGGCTGGAGAAGATGCCTCCATCCTTCAGATGAGACGTAAAATCGACGTCCCGACTCTCTGTGGTCATTACAATTGCAAATACAGATCCCAGGACATTTCCCAAGAGTAGGGGTGTTAACCCTGGCGTCCTGGCTGAATTTCCTCCTGGCCTTTACCAATCATGGCCTCCTAATAATCCCCATCTATGAATTGGCTTCATCACTCTGTTCTCCTCCCCACTGACAGCTGATGTGTGGTGAGTGTTCTGGCACACTGCGGCTGCTGTTGCACGATCCAGGTGGGGGCTACACATTGGAGTCCCCGTTACCTGTAAATGCCTTTGAGTGGAGTGTCCAGAAAAGCACTATATAAGTAATATATATAAATACATAAACATTTTTTTTTTCTAATAAAGCTTCATGAGGTTTTATGCTGGATCTTGACATCTGGTTAAAATTTCCTGCTTAAAATTTAACCCTACTACCAGCTACAATAATATCACAGCTCCTGGTACAGTACAGTATATGATGGATTTACTGTATTTTGATCCCTGATTCCTGATCACCCATGATATAATGAGGGGAAGGTGTATTTAAAAAAACACATGAGGCAGCAAGTGCAACATCAAACTTCTAATATTTATGGTACATGGATTTTATGGTAATTATGGCTTTTAAACAGGCTGCTCAATTCGGTTGTGACCAACAGGAAATGCTTTCATTGTCACACAGGGGAACCAAAGCTCTCCTGAGATTTACTCTGGGAACTGTGCTATCTTTGTAGTGAGTGAATTTTACAAACAGTTTCCACTGGTACTCAAATTCCAGGGTTACGTGGATATGGAGGAAATCATACTAATACTTTCTTGTACTGGCCACCGAATTTAACACTCGTCAGAATATGTCTCATGCAGTAGTGCCAATTAAGAGAAAATTACCCCAATAATGCAATAATGAGTATTATTTTTAGAAGTATCCTATATTTTACACTGCAACCAAATAAAAATGAAACAAGCTTGAGGAACACTAGTAAAATGTGAAAAATTATCATTTATCTTCTCCCTGTAATTAAATCTCATTTTGTAATGTGCAAACTTTTTTACTATAACCTACTGATAGAATGTGACTGATAGGAACTCCACCTTAGTCAATACCAAGCTGTATAGTAACTGCACTTAGAAGGACTTTGCTGAGTTGCTCAATCTGTGACTCAACTACATTTTTCAATACAACACATGCCACCAGGGCTGGCAAACTTGAGAGGACAAGAAGTCCAAACGGTCTTCCTCCTGACAGCACCAGTCAACTCACTCATCACAAGTACGGTCTTTTAATGAAGCGCCACAGCAGTAAAAAGCCAATCTCACTTCGGCGTTACTGTGAGTTACTCTCAGCAGGTCAAGTGTGAACATCTGAACATGATTCACAGGAATGCATTAAAGGTTACAAACATCAAGAGGTCCTTCGGCCATCTAGCCCATGTGCTGAATGGTGAGGTACTGTAGGTTTTGAACCCATGCCTCCAGAAGAGGAGGCAGTAGACCCTCGTCTATCTCAATATACAGTACAATATGTAAGATGTGTCGATATGGCTCAGCATTGATATGCTTAGGTTTTCAGGTGAAATTCATTTTGCCAGTTCGGTCAATCAAATACCATTTCTCATTTACAGAGACACCCTGAACCATTAATACAGCAGGTTATTCCTGAAGCAATTTAGACCTGGGCACACCAACAGTGTCCAACGTGGGCTATGAACCCCAAACCTTTCAGCTGAGAATCTACAGCACTAAGCACAAGTCCACCCTTCGCCTCTAATTGGCTTTTACCTAATTGTAATGCTACGGAAAACAGAAATGCCTTACAATTTCTTATTCTGCCCCTATGTTAGCAAGCACAGCTATTTTCACACCTATTGAAGAAAATCTGGCACAAAAGTACAGACCTGAGTGGGAAATGAGTGTTTTAGAATGTGGAAACACTAGTGGTGCAAGCTTCTGTTGTATCTTCAGGATGCTAGGACTTTGGATTAAGATTTGTGCTGTTCCTAATTGATATCAGTTATCTAGATTCAGCTGTAGTTAGTCAACCTGTCAGGCTTCCAGACAATACAAAGGCAGGAGGATAAGAAAACACTCTAGAAACTGCAAATCAGGTTTCAAATGATTTAGATAAAATTCAAGACAGGGCAAACAACTGGGAGATCATGTTTAATGTAAGAAATGCCGAATACTACATACGGGTAGCAAAAAGAAAAGAGATATATAGATATAGTGCTGTACCAAATAGGAAGAAGCAAGCTGTAAAAATGACTTAGTTACTGTATGTTAACACATCTTCAGCAACAATGTAAGGATGCAATAAAAAGGCAAACAAAATGCTAAGATCCTGTTAAATACAGAGAATTTAAACCATATGATGTTATGTTAAAATTGTACAATGCAAATGAGTAAGCCCTCATTTAGAATATTATGATAGGTTTTAGTCAATACAGAACAGATAAGACTATAACGGAACCCGATTCTAAAATCCTCAATTTCAAGTGGAAACTACTTGAAAGTGCATTTAAAACAGAGAATAGGAGACATTTCTTTAAACAAAAGACGGTGGGAATTTTGAACAAGCTACAGTACTCAGCAATGTTGTTGAGGCTAAAAGAACGGTTTCTTTCAAGAGCCAATTTCCAGATCAACTAGCATTAATCTATGGAACGGGCTAGATGTCTGAATGGCCAGTTCTCGCTTGTAGCCTTTCTCAGGTTCTTGTTTTAAGAGATATGCAAGTGAAATGGAGAAATCGAAAGCATGCTGATAAGTTCCTTACTTTCCAAATGCACTCTCTCCACAATTCAGCTGTTCCACGCAATCCTGTTGGCCAATAGCGTACTCACGTGTGCTGCCTTACGAACCTAAAATCCTAATTATACTAAAGGCTTTCATAAAGCTATACTGTAATCAACTGTTGCCGAAAAGCAGGCGTGTGTGAAGCCAGTAAGGTTGAGATAACTGTCGTTAAGGGCCATGCAGTTATAAGTTCTTGATTTCTTAAGGTAAGTGAAGAGGCGGCAGTCATCAGACCGGTATTTGTGAGCACTGACCAGCACTGACAGACATTTCATTTCCATGAACAACTTACCACGTGTTTACAGATCAGCCAAAGGCTCAGGCCCAAACCACATTTAAAAGATGATACAGTTCTGGTGTAGTGTGCTTAGTTACAACACCGATGTATAGTATTACAAAATGACTGCCCTCTGCCTCTTTCCTTCTTCCCAGCTGTCAAAAGACAACGTGAAACCAAGTGACAGATCTCGTCGAGTGTAGACACGTGACCACGAAACATTAAATCACCGACTACCCTTTAACAAATGCATCTTTCGGGAAAAAATGTAATTCATAAATATTTAATTTCACATCATGAATAATTGGATTCTAGGTCCTGACCCACAATTCTATGAAAATGTGCACAAGGCACCCAGACCGAAGTCTACAGTGTTTCTTAGACACGACCAGGATCACTCATATGTACAGTATGTGTGAGAGCTAACTATGCAGAATTACTTTTTGCTCTCTCATTAAGCTATTTAAGAGATTGCTTAGACAAAAATGGTTTCCCTTTCTACCGGAAGCGGACTCACTCAGAAAAACCAAGACCAAGAACTACCAAGAAATACCAAGACCACACATACCTCTTGTGTTAATAATATTCTGCAGGTCGAGTCGAGTCACGGCTTCCGAATCCGTAAATTTGACTATCCCACCTCGCAACACGATATGCAGAAACGAGATTTTCGAAATCTATGACGTGAGCTTTTTTTTTTTGTCTTCTACGATTTTAGCTCTTGCTTAACTTCTTCCTTAACAGGAGTGCACAACTTTTATCCTTGTGTCCGCCACAACTTATCGCACATTTTGATTGCAACAGCTCCACTTATCGGACAAAAATGGGAAAGGAAAGAGGTTCCTGAACCGGAGACACCTATCACGTTACTCCATGCAGCGCCTACAAATTGCGTGGGTGCTAAGTAGTTCAAACAACTCGGGCTCTAGGGCTGGGCTATGACCAAGTTGTAGGAAGTAACTGAAAGCTTGAAAATCAAGTAAAATTACCCGACTAAGAGAATAAAATGCGAAGTTTCTGCCTCAACATATATGCTTTAACAACAGTAACATTCGTTTTTATTATCAATTATTATTTAGAATGCAAAAAAGGACTTTCGACACTTGTTACGTTTTTTTGTATTTCAGACTTTCAGTGTTTTTAACGAATTATTAACAACTGTGGATCACGTCTTATATTTTCTCCCCACTTTGGAAAACCCGCTGCTTGCAGATGACCTGTGAGAGAAGTAACCCCAACAGAGAAAGTCATGGGCAATTAGAACATGAGCTCACCCCTCATGAAAGACTGCTCTCATTGTCTTGAGGTGTCTGATTCATACTGGCACTTTTACACCAGTCTACACTATATCACCCTGCAACTCACAACTGCCAAACCGCTATATGTCACGATCGGGATCCCTCCTCTTACGGGCGGTCCGACCCTTTCTATTTTAGTTTATTGTGTGCACCTGCCACCTGTCCTGTGTCCCATTATTAAAGCCCGTCGCTCTCGCTATTACTGGCTCAGCAGTGGTAGATGGACGCCCGGAAGCATGCCTACCAGCGGGTCCATGTGAGACCCGACGGCATAGGCTTCATCACGGCGTCCTGACCATCTGAGTCCGAGGCTCCGAGCGCCTAGCCTCGTTACCCTGGTTTTATTCCCTGTCCCTGTTCCGGACTACAGCAGGTGTTAACCCCTAATTCTGGCCACATTCCACCCTGGCCTATACAATCATGATGTCCTAATAATTCCCTTCATTCCTCTGTTCTTCTCCCCACAGATAGCCAATGTGTGGTGAGCATACCACCAGCATACCACCACCATGACATATCTTCAGCTTCTAACAGTTACATAATAAATGCTGGTCAAGGGTCAAAGAAACTGTTGTCTCTGAAGCTTACATAAGTCAAAACCAAACACTTCTTCCCTTTCCGGAGCTAAATTACAAACTGTGTTAGTGCAGGAGACAGTCTCTACCGCTTTCTTCATTGAACTGTTAAGTAATGTGTGATTCCAATTCACAACTTGTATGGTTGAATTGGTATGGTCCAGTTGACTAAAAATCTGAATCCTAATACAAACTACATGAAATAAATGATAGCATTTGTCACTGTCACATTTTCTGTGCCCTGTTTAAATTGTATTCCCAGCTTTTATTTCAAACGACTTTGTGGGGACTAATTCATTGCAGGGCAAAATTACATTGCAAAAATGATATTGTGAGATATGATGTTTTTCTGTAACAAAATGGGCTTATGTAAAAGTACTGCATGTTGCACGATCAGATGAGAAGCAGGGACACATTTTTTGAGCAAATACATTTAATAGGTATATTTTATTTACAGAATACATATACAGTACAAAGCTATAAGACATCACATACATCACACATTCTCTACAGAGGGGGTGCAATCTGTTCTTTTTTCTTCTAGTATAATTAATTGCATGCTAAAGTCCACATAATAAAATTAATATATTTATCACCATATGTTAAATATGATGTTCACACCAAACTAAAAGATCTATAAATAACCTCCATATTTACAAAGCAACTTCAATGGTTCTGAAGGCAGAAAATGATTTTTTAGAAGGCGTTTCAAATTTAAAAAAATAAAAGCCTTTGTTCTGTGATAAGTCAGTAAAAAGCAAACTCAAGCTATACAGACAAAATGATACAAATACGGATCAAGATTAATTTGGATTTGGACAAAATGCCAGTGATAGTACAGCAGGTCATTATTAATCTAAATTAAAATTTAAGGGCAAATGATTGTAAGAAATCATTGTAAGTATTTCTGTTCATGAAGTCCCAGGACCTTTGGACGTTTGAAATGTACGTACTTGGTTTCACTTTTGCTTCTGAAATGTTTGCAGTTTAGGGATGCAGAGGCTCAGGCGGCAGAAAACATTTTCTGTTTTGTTTCTTAATCCTAAAAGGAAGTAGCTCACATACTGAAAACATGGGGATACCCAGAGCAAATATATTATCTGAAAACACACTAAGAAAGGAGCAGACGAATAGAAAAAGTGCTTCGACACTGAGGAACGGGATCATGGGATAGCCCAGGACGAGCCTCTGGGAAGGTCTCTGTGATGTTAATGATATCATACAAGAAGAACAGATTCCTTTGGGAAGTACAGCAGAGACACGAGCACTCTCCTCAAGTCCCTGGAGTGGCCACGCCACTAGTTCCTCCGGGGTTCCAGTCTGTGAGACAGCTGGGACAGCGTCCTCTGGTTATCAACCACATTCAGCTGCCGGACATAGCTCCGCACTTCCTGGTGGTTCTTATTAGCTAGGGAAGCATCTGGATCTGGGGAGAGTGGAAACGCAAAAATGGACAATTAAATCAAAGGGAACTGTAAAGAGAGCCCACGAGCCCTTTTGTGTGGCAAAGCCGTAAATAAGCTGTGACATTTCTGAATCACCAGTCCCACGCACTCCCTCACCGTGGCGTCCAGGAAATGCTCTGCTGTAATTGAGGATGACAAATGAAACCCGTCCCTGCTATGTCTGATAACACCATTCAGTTACTTTCCTGAAAGGCTTCATACAGCAAAATATAAATCTAATAATAGATCTTTGAAGTAATTTAACCCCCAGACAAGCTGCAAATAGAGATGTGCTAACAGACTGTACTAACCTATGGATAATACCCTAAGGCACTAAACGATTACTCTTGGATAGTCCATTCAGGCTTGCCCGCAATAAATAATGTTGTCAGAAAAAGTGCAGTTAGAATAAGTTGCCCACCTGCCCTGACGTGCAGATACAATGTCTCATGATTCAAGATGGGCCCGTTCCATGGTGACGTCTGGCGGGTAGTTCGCTCGTTTATGTTGTTCATTTTTGTATTAAGTCCCTTTTTTTGTGTAACACATCCACGTGCAACCATCACCTGTTATTTATTATGTTTGTAATGTACCGTCTACATTGTGTGGTGTTGTACTGTATCGTCTGCTGTACTGTGTATGTCCTGAGAGGTCAGCATGAATAAGAATTCCAGTGGACATGTACAGATGGCAACACACTCCTCTTCTACTACTCTATTTTTTGACAAATAATTTTACACTATACTTATACAGTAAGGCAAGCAATGGATTCCATAAGATCTGACAAAACAATAGACAATAAAAGAACGTGCATAACTAAGAACAGAAACCCTAGGCTCAAGAGAGCTTTTAGGTTTTTGTCCGCGACTTACTGAAAGGCTGACTCCGACAGTATCTCACTATCCTCACTGTGTTGGCAATCATGCGCTGCAAAACAAAACCCAGCAGTGAATTCTTAAAAGGCTCTCATGACCTCCAATTACAGTTTAAGGCACCATACCTGTTGTTCGTCTGCTGTCTATCTTCAATCTCCTAACAACTTAACAGAGCTTCAGCAAGTTTGCAAAGACCAATGGGTAGAAATCGAACCATTCTGGTGTGCAAAGTTGGCAGAAACTCATCCCAGGAGACTCTGGGGCTTGTTCAATAAACTTGTCCAAGTTCACATTTATTGTCATATGTACCCGAGTACAATGACAATACTAAAGGCCAGTACATATTCACTCAAAGGGGTGAATACTTCTGCAATTACCACAATACAGTTCTTCATTTTTTGCCTTAGTGTTTGCTACCACTTCAAATCTTTCACCCATAAAAGTGTTCAGTTTGATCATTCATGTTTTGATTTGAAACAGCCACTGGAGAAATGTTTGCACATTATTTGTAATTCAGTAAAATAGCACTACACTAGACGGGGAGGGTGTGGTGGCTCAGATGGCAAGGGTGTCTAGCTCCTGACCGGAAGGTCCCAGGTTCAATCCCAGGTAGGGACAAGCAATGTAGCTTGCTTTAATTCCTCCCAGACAGCTCCCAGGTCCACTCAGCCTGCTTTCCAAATGAGTACCGGGGTTTATCCTTCTGTGGGTAATAGCCAGCCAGAGCATGATGCTGACCACATCACCTCCACCTCCAGTGTCGGATGGTCAAGAAAAATGCTGGCCCTTGTCCCCCATTCCCCCCATAGGCCTTTATGGCCTGAAAAGGGACCTACCTAAAATGGATGGGGTGAATACTTTTGAATATGCTTAGTGGCAACATACAAGACTTACCATTTTTTCAAAATTGACAAGGCTGTCTATAAAAGTCTTGTTGCCTTCATGTGTAAACGTCATGTCTAAAGCAAAAAAAAAAGATCTGTTAGGAACTAAGCCAAAAAATCTATTAGATGGACCATAAGGTACTCTGATGGTTTATATACAGTTTAAAAAACGTTGTGATATTTAAATTTGATACTTGGGTAAAAAGATGCAGATGTTTTTAAGAACTGCAAAATACATTACCAAATTAAGTGGGTGCGTGAAATTTACAAGCCACAAGTTTTACGGACATGAAGTATTAATTTCATTCTTTTGCCAACTCCTCCGAACATTTTTGCTATCCTTCTGAAGCACGTATGTCTCTGTATATGCTAAGAGTCATTCCAAAACACCTTTTATATATTCTTTATATACTGTATCCTTTCCTCTTATAAAAAAGTTATAAGATTCCATGAATGTGTGGCAAGGCATGGTAGTATTATAGTGCGAGTGACCTTTGACACCAGCATCTTACCTTTCATGAGTAAAGGCATGAAGGGAATGATAGGAGGGTCTAGCTTGGCCACAGTCAGCCTATACGCTCTATGGTTTCTGGATGGATCCTGGGAAGACAGTTGACATGGCGATAGCATCATAAACTAGCACAGACAAGACCCCAAGCAAGATCCTACCGACAGCCTGTATCATGAAGGAAGCTACTGTGGAGACTGGATTGTGGATAAACTGTACATTTTTCAAACATTAAAAAAAAACTGTCTGAAATGACAATTTCTTTAGATGACAAATTGCTATATTTTAAACTAACCGACTACCCATCTGTGACGGAGTCACTATACGGGTCACTGTTGTCGTCAAAATATGACCAAACGCGTGGAATTAGCTAGGATTTTGGTTTTGATTTTTTTCCCATTTTTTAAGGATTCATTTTGTAAAGCAAAGATAATGAAAGAGGAGCCAGGACCATCAAAAAAGAGGGTAAAAACATACATTTATTCCCAAACTGGGAAAGCTAATTTCTTTTCACCAGTTTCAAAGACAGAAGCATTTGCTACCAGAGCGTAGCCTTGAGAAAAATTAGCTATTTTGAACTGCATCTTGACTCCATGCAAAAACAGATTTGGACAAGTAATGTTGAGCAGTTAAAGGACATTTTAAATTCACTTTTCTAAACGTCTGTCAAAAGGCAAGCCCAACACAGAGGTGTCGTTTTGCAGTAGCCATGGACTGGTGAAACACAGGAAATCATTCACTGATGGAGACGTTATTAAGCAGGCGATGTTTTTTTAGGTCAGAGACTTAAAAAACAAAGATGAAATCATGACAACTATAGAGAGCGTGCTGCTTGGCTCTTCAACAGTTGCCAGAAGGGTAGAAAGGTTGTCCGAGGACGTGTCTTGTCAAAATCCACCAAGACTTAGCAGACTGCGAATGTTTCTCACTGCAGTGTGACAAAACAACCCAATGAGTTGTTTTAATGCGAATGGCCTTCAAAGAATCAAAAACAGTCAAAATGCCTAAAAAATTAACAAAAGGCCAGGCTATCTACAACAAATTTAAAATGCATGCGACTGGGAAAAGCTTTCCAATGGAGAAACTGATTTCAATCACAACTGATGGTGCATCAGCAATACTAGGTGTCAATGCAGAATTTATTTCAGTTGGCAGAATTAATCCTGAATTCCCCTCCTTTGCCAGTTACCACTGTATTGTCAACAAACCAGTAATTGCAAGTAAGATTATTGACTTCTGACATGTTGTCAAGATCGTCAACTCAATTTGTGACATTCAAATTGTTCCTCAAGGAGTTTGATGCTACCCAATCCTTCATGGAGAAATGAGGTGATCATGTCAAGGCAAAGTGTTTTGAGATTTTAAGATCTAACGCCTGAAATTGTCCCCTTGTAAAACTCAAGAAATGAGTTGTATAACAAGTGGTCAGATGCGTGGGTGCTAGACTTTTCTAACCAGACATAATTGCAAACATGAATGAGATCAATTGCAAATACTGTATAGGGAAGGACAGAGACTTGTCACACATGACCAAGCAGTGAAAGTGTTCAAGCTGATACGGAGTCTGTGGTCTTCACAGTTAAAGAATGACGTGACACTACTTCCCTCAGAGTACATCTTACAAAATGTCAAACAGAAAGGGTTGCATTCAAAAATATTCTGTGACCAGAACAAACTGGAAAGGGAATTCAACAGGACAATTTAGTTAGAGAAGATGGAACAAGTCATCATTTTTATCTCCAAACCTTTTCTTCAGGACGACATTTGGAGACCTGACAGTATATTTACATTGGTGACACAAAACCGTAGGCTTGACATGGAGATTGTCACCATGCAAACTTTTTTTACAAAGACTTTTGGGGACTTGTAAACAGAGAAAATGACCATTCTGTGTCATCTTGTGCACTGATTGCGGAGGTCTGCTTTGGTTCCACATCTGGTAGCTTTTTCACAAATAAAAATCAAGCCCAAATACTGCATTTACCTTACAAATGCTCCCCTGATGAACTGCATGAGATAGGCCATCTCAAACTACACCCAGACATCAAAGCACTCTCAGATAATGTGCACTTCAGGTGTCACACTGAAAGGTGAGTGTTATGCATTGGAATATAGTTATACAGTTCAGGGTTTATGAGAAAATAGTGGTTTTTAATGGCTGATTTTCTGTTCAATTTAGATTTTAAAAGTGTTTAAAAAGATTGGAGACCACTACAGAAGTCTAATCCTGAGAAGGTCAAAGTACTACAATAAGTCCAACTTATATTAATATTTTGTCCTTTGCCACTCAAACCCTGAAAAAATCAAACATTTAAAACAGCATTGTCCACTCTACTTGCTACACATGAAGAAAGTCTGTTGTGTTTGCATGTGAAATAATGAAAAATGAATGTCGTGGAGCATGCAACATTTCAACTCACCATTAAACTTTCGAATTCTGAGTAGAACTTTTTAAATTTGCTCGGAAGTTTCTGCAAATGACAAATGAAAATGAGAGGCATATTAGTCTTTCACACTGATTAGCGTCTGTCCATCTTAAGCTCAGGTAGCAAAATAAGACCCACCTCCCACGTCTGACTGAGTCTGCTGGCTGCTGGGTTGCTCAGACCCATGATGATGGCAAAGAAAGAGTTCAAGTTTCTATATTCCTTGCAGCTGAAACAATGGAGAAAATTAACCTTTCAGTTCCTGGTTTATACGGCAATGGACACTATGTCATTATGGCAAATTACATTACTTCAGCTTATATAAGTGAGAAAATGGAACCAAATCAAGTATTTATGTGAGTTTAAAGGGGAAATACAACACAATTTTTATACTTTGGGGTTAGAAAAAATCAGCATTAATGAGTGCTTTTCAAATCACAATGAAAGTAAAATGTACACAGTAACTTGTAAAACTTCCAATTATCATCACAAAACAGACAAAATTTCCAGGTATGCGCAGTACCATGTTCTGCGATTCAGAACGAGGCAACAAAACTTCCAGTGACGTGTTGCAGCCTTGTTACACTGTAAACAAGCAGGCTTGTGAACACGTCTCTTTAATTCAATAGAAATATTGTTCTGGAATATAGAACTTACTCGTTAACTCTGCATGCAGATCGCATTGGAACATTTCTGCAGTGAAATGTCTGCTGCACAACCTGTACTTATTCGCTCGTACATCACATTACATCAGTCATTACAGTGACTAGTGAGCAGGAAGGGCCACGTCACGTCACAATTCACCCGTGGCGAGACCAGGGGTGTGAAACAACATGGCAAATTACAGTACATTCACAAAGTTCACGATTTTGTGCTTAATTCGAAAAATGTAAAATTCTTCTATGCTGTCAATTAACTTATTTTGTTACCGAGATTTAACCGAGATTTAATAACCAGTTTTAGAAATTGGGACTGCAGTTATCCTTTAAGAGAACTGAGAAACATAAAGTTGATAGCTGCAATACAGAATTTTCTTATAGTGTTTAAGTTTTGCTTCAAGAACTTGTGTTGTCTGTTTCTGTATAGTCCATAGTTTGTCAAAGTATCCATTTCCACAACACCAAGTCCCAGACTGTAAGATAAACGAGTGGTGCATGTGAAACCTCCAGACAATTGCTCGGACAGTATGTACTTACTGAGCAGCTATCTTTATGAATTTCTTGAGCAGCTGAACTCGCTTGCTCAGCTGGGAGCACAGACAGATCTCTGTGACTACCCACAGCTGAAGCTCATTGAATCTCCTCAGGAATAGGTCCAAGTTGGCCGTAGTCTTCTTGAAATGTTGTCTTCCAAATGTGTGATATATCAGCTCGTGCTGTTGAACAACAAATGCAACTGGCATAACGAAACTACACTTTAATATGCGTATTACATGCTTGTTAACAGCAGAAAAAAAAGCGTGTAGCTTGTAAAACACTGATGGACAACAGATTACTTTCTCTTTGCTCCAGAGGTAAATATGCAGCTATTCCTAAAATTGTGAAAGTTCAAAGTGCAAATCTAGCACTCCAGAAAGTACTGTATCATGGGTGTGGACTACCAGTATGTCTTTAGACTCTGGGAGGAAACTGGATCACCTGGAGGAAACCAGGTGTACAAGGAGAGACCATACAAACTCCCTACAGATAGCACCCCAGGAATCGAACCCAGGGCCCCAGCGCTGCGAGGCAGCAGGGCTAACCTCCAACATGTTACTCTCCAACATGTTACTCTCTTCCTTTTTATGTATGTAATTAACAGAACACACCTCAATGCATTAAAAACTGTAAGATATAATGTATTGCATGATGCTTTTGAAAGTAAACAAATGCTTTTAAGAAATTAAAAGATACATTCCAAGATTGTGTAAGAAAATGAAACAGACAAAGAAGTTTTCTCTTCATTGCTTTAAATTCATTTCTGAGGAAAAAGGGCTGGTATAATAATCACTAGTTTTGTGAGGTCTGATATTGGAGAAATTGTCATAACCATGTAATTCTGTGTTCTGTAAGTTTTTCTTTAAAGCCAGTTATCTTGTGTGGTTTTGCACAGTCTGTGTTTGCTACAGTTCGATTGTACCTCATGCACACAGTTGAACAGCTCCCAGTCATATACTGTCATTTGGTAAGCCAGGTCTTTGGAACTCATCAGCTCAAAGGTTCCAATGGATCCTGTAGATGGACCTTCCTGCTCTGGTAATGGAGCCTGCAGTGAAAGGTACAGATTTCAATTGATGTGTTTTTTTTCCTCCAAAGAAAACAGATATTCTGACATACAGTAGTTCAAGTAAGTAGCTGCGTCAGCATACGTAGGCTGCAAAGAAACACGTATAGGTTTATTCCATGCTGAAAAGAGAAGAAAAGAAAACACAACGTTTCGGCTGTGGAGCCTTCTTTGGGTGTCGAAATACACACCCGAAGAAGGCTCCACAGCCGAAACGTTGTGCGTCTTTTCTTCTCTTTTCAGCAGGGAATAAACCTTTACTTGCTCCTTTGCAGATATTTTGACGTCGTTATTCAAGAACAACACAACAGTCGAGGAAAATAATTCACTCACAAAGTAAAGAAAAATATTGTAAGCCACTAATTTACTAAATGCAGATTAGACTTCTTTACTTCCCATTCACCAATAGCACCACAGTTTTACTGCATGTCTCCTTTCTATGCATTGTGAACGAAGTAATGATTTGGTGCAGGAGTCTCAAACAGATGGCCCACTGGCCTCCAGCCTCTCAGAAGCCACTTTGTGGTAGGCTATAAGTAGTTATTGCGCACATGTGGACATGCTGCAGTTTGGTCTTAACAAAGATAATAATACGCATACATTTATTCTCACAAGTTTTTTTTAAAAAACCTTGAAAACTATTATGCTAGTTTCACATCAGCTATTTGAGAAATTGTCATGAATACCCTGGCTGTGGAGCATTTTGTTTGTGCATTAATGATGCTGTTGAAAAGTTATGGAAAAAGCAGATTTAATCTTTAATGCCAGGGCGTGTTACATATTTACTTTCTGCATTGGTTAGTTTGTTGAGACCTTGCTGAATATGTCTAACACTGCAAAATGTCCAAGTGGCAGCCTCAGGACCATCAGTAGGCCTTATGCTGGGGACTCCTGATATACCACATCTGGGTATTTTGTCACAGCCAAAAGCCTCTTTTCCAGTGAGGTCATTATATTATCATATAGATCATTATCGCTTCCAAATGCAGTCTGTTTCAGGAAGCTTCTCTTCTACACCATGTTTGCATCTATATACAATAGCTGAAAAACATACGTTTCTAATGATACATGCTTATGAAAACCATATTATTTGTGCAAATATCTGGAGGCCAATGCTTTGGGCAGAGTAGTTTAAGCACTTGTAGTGAAACATTACCATTACAATTACTGTGAACAAACATTAACATAATATTACAACCCCTTAAATGTGTTTAAATTAGGACCCATTTCTCCAGTATTGTCAGAGACACTAATCAAATGCAGCTCGGAGAGGATACAAAAGCACATTTATAAGTGAGAATGAGCTGGGAGATGCTTTTCTTTAAGGCAGATACACACCAGTGAATCAAACTGGTCCCTTGGGCAGACAAACAGACGTCCATTGATGCTGAGGGTTGTAAACACTGAAATGTCGTTGGGTTTCAGCACCACTTTGTCTGTAAGAACAGAAAATAAGCCATACCATAAGGTCACCAATGCAACTAATTTGATCACCAACTAATGCTACGACAACAATTAAAAATAATAATAATTTGGACATAGCAAATACAGTACAGATTTATCTACCACAGAGTCTCCAGTATAGGACAGTTGCATAAACAAGGTTCCACAAGTTTCACTGAAGTTAAAATTGATAATGAAATTGTTGATGAACTTTGTTTACCATGATTTTCTAGACAAAAAGTAACTTAAGTAGTTCAGGTGGGTAGCTGCGTCAGCATGCGTAGGCTGCAAAGGAACAAGTAATAGGTTAACACCTGAAGAAGGCTCCACAGCCGAAAGGTTGTGTTTCCTTTCTTCTCTTTTTACTATGGAATAAACCTATTACTTGTTCCAAAGTCATTTATAGTGCCCCTTTTTTCAACATTATCGCCCTCTAATGTGAAATATTAGCATTTCATTTTCATATTTTTTTTTATAAAAATTCATACAGCTAAACAACATTCAATACACACTCAACAACTCTGTGGATGTTTAGGTGCTTGAACTAAAACAGATTTTAACGACATGTTAGTGTGCCCGTTAGCGCTGGTAAAAGGAATGAAAGCTTTTTAAAAGGACTGCACAAAATCACCAGCATGAGCCTTGGGGATTTTATGAACAGTTTCAAAGACAGAAGGGCTCCTGGGTATCTTAAAGGGAATCAGCATTATTACAGGGTATTTAAAGGAATTTAAATTTCCAGAGTTTTGCCTCCTAAAAACTTGTCCCAATAGTGTTATTGCTCCATTTGAAAGTATTGAAGAGGCTTATTCACGAGTTCCCTGTGTTCTGAATGCCTTTTCATCCTTGACAATTTTAAATCTCTCATCTCCAAGCCCCTCTCAGTAAATAACACTCTGGAACTCAGGATCATAGTTCATGTTCACACAATTAGTGAGTCCATATTTCACAAAAGCAGTGCTACTGTGCCTTGTCCATGATGGTGCTCTCTTTCTTGTAGGCGATTCAGACAAATTTGCCATAGCAGATGTTTTTAGCACTAGACTTTTATTATGGACAAGTTCTATACCCTTCAGGACTGTCATTTTCAGATGTGGATGGAATTGAGGACTGTGCCAAAATTTATTTTTGTTATTAATGAAATGATACTTTTTTTCAGCAGTAAGGTTTAGTTATTGAGTTTCACATCTTGTATCGTCACAGCAAAAAGCAAGCATGAGGACATCAGTGTCCTGGGTGGCAAAGTTTGCATGCGAATGGAGTGAAAGACACAGCACTGTGCAGACAAGCGTCATCATCTACCACTGAACTGCTGTTTCCACCTGGGTGACATGAGGGAGCATTTTGCACCAGGAGCTCCACCCACAACAAGTAAGGTTGAGAAGTGGGAATCCACTGAAATGGACAGGTTAAAGGGACACTTGAGGAACGCCAGATTATGCAAACCCAGTGCAATTTAATCAGGAAACCTGGGCTAACATCCATGTTTTAAAAGTGTGATTTTTAATGGTCAAGTAATCAGAACATTAGTGCAATGTCTCCTCAAAAAGATGGCACCTGAAACACAGACTCCTTGATCATCACACCTGGGCTCCTGGGTCGAGAGGCCCCTGCTATCTGGAGAGATCAGTCTCGTGCTAGTTATGATTGTTATAGTTACAAATGGAGTTAATAACGAATATTCGGGAGGGATGACAATGGTCAAATTCAATCAGACTCAGTTGTTAGTAATTCGCAATCACTCCTGATGTCATTTCATCTCCTCAAACACTATAAAAACTGTACATGATCCCCTTCTTTCCCGCACGTACGGTTTTCTGTCTCCCACCTCCACCCCATCTCCACCTTTGCGGCTGCCCCTTGGTCACTCCTCACTCTGCATGGGGGTCCCCAGCCTCCTCGTCCTCTGGCCAGGGGGCTGGCCCTCAACCAAACGGTTAAGCCACACTGTGACTAAAACCCTCCATGACCCTTTCAGTACACTTACTTCTTGGTTGTTGTTATTCCCAGTGAAATGAAAGAAATGTAAAAACAGTAATGAAAGACATGCTAAGAGACAATCTTCATTTGCGCGTCACACCACATCTAAAGTTCCACCATCTAATAGCGAGACACCCACTGCAGTGTGTCGTTAACATGAATGAAACAGTTCAGAAGTACACCTATCTCTACTTAATTGACCATGTTTATTGAAGGTACGATAACTCTTTATTTGATTCATTTGTCAAATTTTCTAACTGCTTTATCCAATACAGGGTTGCTGGGGTGCCAGAATCTATCCTGGCAAGCAACGGGAGCAAGTCAGGGTACAACCTGGATGGGACGCAAGTGCATCACACGGTACACAGACACAAACACACACTCACATCAGGGCCAGTTTTCCCAGAAGCCAATTAACCTACCAGGATGTCTTGAGACTGCTGGAGTAAACCAGAGCACCCAGAGGACACCTTCATTGCTCTTCACTGCTGTAAAGAAAATATGAGTTGATTTGCCATGCTCACCTCCTGCAGAGTTGACATGGACTAGGATGAGCTCCTCGCCTGAGCCCAGCTTGTCCGCCACTGCACTGATCACCTCCTTCACTGACGCCGCCACAGACACCCGGATAGTGGTGTAGGTGTGATCAATGCAGTACACTTTAAACAGGACTGCAAACAGAGGATACAGATCAATCTTCTCGCACGTAAGGTAAAAACATACAGTACACATTACAACAGTTACAGTTGCAATGTGTACTGTAAGAGTAAGACTAGGAGTAAGACTAGGGTTACAGGGAGGGCTATGGAAAAAATCACTGTTAAAAGTTCAGAGAGGAGCGTGAAGGCTTAATGGAAGTAGATGATTAGGGCTCTGGATTTACAGATGGAAACTTGGGGGTTTAAATACCTGGTGGCCAATCAGATTGCTCCAGTGCTATGGTCTCCTGTATAAATGAGCATTTAAGTTGAAGTTAACTGTAACATGCGAGTTGAGGTTAGAGAGAGTGTTAGGATTAGGGGCTCCAATTACAGATGTGGGTAGCCCTTGGGAAATATAGTATTTAGGATTAGTGTTAAGATTAGGGTTGGGTATTTAAAGTTACTATAGTTATTATTAGGATTTGATTATTAGGATTTGATTCAGGATTATGATTACAATTTTAAAGTGAAGGTTTTATCATTAGGTTCAGATTTTACAATTAATAAAAGAGAGGTTGTCATTAAATTCAGAAGTAATCTGTAAAGTCAAGACTGGATTATGGTTAAAACTAGGTTCAGGCTAAGGTAAACGTGATTAGGGGTATTATGATTAAGGTTATGCATGAGGTTATAATGAACACTAGGATTAGGATTAAGATGACACTTTGGTATTTGTTAAAGTTGAGTTAGGGTTTAGGATAAAGGTAAGGATTGATCAAGTATTCAAGTTTCTTTGACAACATGGGTTCCAATCCAATCACCCAACAGTGATTAGACTTCAGAAGGTGCAGGGGTGGAAGTGGTTGCGTTTGTCAAGGACTGAGATACAAACAAAAATAAACCCATTCATAAGATTCTTTTTGCAGGGGTAACATGAGTACCTTTTTCCAAATTAGGCAGGAGAAAGAAACACTTGAAGGGAAGTTTGTAAACATGTATTTTCCTAGATAAGCTTACTTTCATCATTGCTCTTAATCGGCTGTCTCTTCTGAAGCCTTTCGTCTCCTATACTGAACTGGCGCAGAAGAACCTTGTGCTGAAACGGAAATGGAATTAGTTCCTTATCAAACAACGAGGCATGGACAACATACAAAAACAAACTAGTTTTAATCTCCCTCAGATCCTGCTGTACGTTTCAGAGTAGTGGTTGCTGTATGGCATTTTTGCATATCTGCTTAGTGGCATGCTCGCAGTAACGCACTGACAGGAACACACTCAGTAAAGCAGCCTTCACAGACAGACACACGCACAACAGGACAGCCCGTAGAAGAGTACCACCTCCCGCCCTCTCAGTTTACAACACACTTGCTGTGTGTAACTACAGTACCTCCATGATTTACTTGTTGGGCAGAGGAACGCGTAGAAATGTTTCTATTTCAGACACTGTACTGTGTAACAGGAATTTGTTGTTTAGCTATTCCCAGTTTTCTAATCTAATTTTGTGTTTTCCTAAATCAGAAAACCATCCTTTTTTGTTGTTTGCAAAGGGTGTGCAAATGTTTATTTTATTTTTTATATTCTATTCTATAACATTATTTTCATAAATATTTGATTTTTCTATATATTTAATATAGGGTAATACTTGGGCAATGAAAGTTAAAGTACATTACTGCTTAGAATTTTTTTCTGATACAGTATCAACAAGTGGCTCAGCTTAAAAATCAAACATCGTATACAGACGCAGATCCAGATTTGCATGAAATACATACAGTACCTTTTTCTGTGAGGATTTTGCTTCTTCAGTACTAAAATAAAAAATACCATAAAACATAATATTATTTGAAATGTAATTATGCAGACTGTCACCTTCTAAATTCATTGTACAATATTTTAAAGTATATATTATAGTTCCACACTCTAATACAATAAATAATATATTTAACAGAATCACGATACTAAAAAAAGCAAAAGTGAATTGTAAACATAACAGATTTTTTTTCATTTGCCCTTCGTATTTCCAATCTGATTTTATCAGTTAAACTGAAGAAAAACTTGTATGATAGATACTGTTAAATATCACATTTTTTCCTGTTTGTAGTGTACTCTCCTTTGTCAATGTGGCTCATTGAAATGCATTAAAATAAAATTAAAATTTTGAGAAATTACATTGCTTGAACTTGATCTCCAAAAGAAGTCAATCGTTATTTCAAAGTATTTATTTAGCAGGTGAGGGTTTAGATGTTCAGTATATAATATATGTATAATATATGATATATGTTCAGTATATAATCAATATTCTTAGAATAATGATTCTTATTTAAAAATATTTATATTGTAGTTTATCAAGAAATTGTAGTTTATCAAGAAACTACAGTGACAGTTTGAAAAACAACTGTAGTGCACATATGAAGTACACACATTTGGCTTTTCAAAGTGTTTCAACTTACTTCTGTTTGACAATCTTTTCCAGTTCAGGAAGATGTTCCTTCAGAGCTGGGATCACTCTGGAATCATCTGACACGGACACATAGAATTCCTACAAAGCAGAGCACAGCCATCAGCTATAAGATGTGACTCAGACCTGCTTTGCTAAACAACTGCAATATAAAGCAGTAAATCATTTTAAAAGAATGAGCAGAATCACATTTCACATTTCAATGTGTTTTTTAAATGCACTGCATGCAGAGGTAAAATGAATAAGCATGCTTTATGTTAATTTGTTTATATTATTTTTTTTCAATTCATATTTTTAAACAAGCCTTGCAACTAAAACACAGGCTTGAAGGTACTGACAAAAAGACATGCATTTGCATTTATTAAAATCCATATGCTTAAAAATAGAAAATAGTAAGACAATCAAAGCCAACAATTTTGGGCCTTCAATAACATGTTCTGACTAGTTATGGAGGGACATGGCATGCACATATTTGCATTTCCAGGCTTTACACATTACAGAGCCACAACTGGCATCTTCGGCTTTGGCCATTTAGAGCTATGAGCTTCAGATGGAGAGTCTGGAGTTTTAAGGACAACTGATACAAAATAATAACCCAATTATTTAAACCCAGTCTAATAACCTAATCAATGAATTTGCAATAGCACATGGATAAGAATAAGTGGAGGTATTTTAAACATACGAAAGGTTACAAACAAGAGGCTCATGGGCAGTCAGAAGCTAATTGATCCCAAGATCTCATAAAGCCATTTCTTTCCACAATCCAGGGTATCAACTTCAACACCATGGCTGGGGATCTCGTTCCAGACTCCCACAACCCTTTGGGTAAAGCGGTGCTTCCTGTTCTCAGGTTTAAATGCATTCCAATGGAGTTCCCGCTTGTGTCCCCTGGTTCTATGTCACTGTCCAGCTGTTGAACAGGAGGCTGCCGTGTTCAGGACTGACCTCTAGGAAAGCCAGAGCTGCCTCCTCCTCCTGGAGGTGGTCTCCGTACACAGACGCCCACTGCAGGACCAGCCGGATCACTCGCCTCTTGTTATTGAAAGTGTAATCCAGCTTCTCCTGCTCCGAGCCCTGGGAGGCCTGGGCATGGTAAGTGCAGCGCAGCTAAGGAAAAACAATTCGGAGCCAAAGGGCTGAAGAGGGAAGAATTTGGTCATCTTGACCAATTTATTTTCAGAAGATAAATCTGTCAGAACTGCATGTTACTTCCCTTTTGTGTTAAGTTCATTATCACGTTCACCTGCCCCCTTGTTCCGTTCTTTATTTAAACCCGGTGCTCTGGAAGCTCGGGTCTCTGCATTGGAAGACGGACACCCGGAGGCCCGCCTAGCATCAAGTTCCCTACGTCCGCGGCTTGAAGGCACAGGCTCCCCATCGGCGTCCTGACCCAGCTGAGTCTGGAGCTCGGAGCGCCTGGCCTCGTCACTCCATTTTTAATCTCCTTGTTCCATGTCCCTGTTCCTGTTTTTATTCGTTCTGTCTTGGATGGATTCCCTGGTTTTTGGATTTTGGACTGCGCCCCAGATTTCCTACATTGGACTGTTCCCCAGTCTTGTTTGCCTGCGCTCCCCCCTTGCACCTGATCACTGTCGGCACTGCCCCCTGTTCGCCATCCCTTCTATTCCTGACCGTGTTTTTCCCGTAGCCCTTTTCCAGTCACTTCCTGATCATACCGTCTGTACGGGGTCCTAAACTACGCATCGTCACACTGCGGATCTTAAAAGACTGACAAGAGTTTCCATAAGAAAACTCTGGGGATTGTTCACTGACACCTGTATGGATTTATCCGGAACGTCAATAGTTTAAAACTTTTGTTTTCTTTCTTTACATACTCAGTGTCAAATTACCAAATGGAATTATATGGGCTATCATTAATATCTACTATACATAAGGAGCTATACATAAATTGATGTTTTATAGCAAAAACAAAAACCTCTCATATCATGAGATCATTAAAACAGATTTAAATATTTGTTTTAAAAATGGTTATTTTGTGGTAACTAAGCCTGACCCTTTTCTTGCACAAATCTACTATTTAAAGTCAGTTTAAAAAAAACAAAAACAAACATTATGGGATTCATTTCATACCTGTTTGCCAGATTAGTATCAGTAGCCACAGAATGATCAGCTGGGCTTTCTAGAGCTGGACTTTCACAGATATAACTGTGGTAGGTCAGAGATGACAGACACCTCATTCATCCCTGATGCCTCTAACTGCAGAGTGTCCTAAACCGCCGTATTCTGGGACGTTACACTGCAGTGATCCCAAAGTGACACAATGCACAGACACTTAATTCATGTGTTTCCCACTCATCTAAATGATACAGAAAGGCAATTAAAATGCTCGTCTGGAAAATGAATATTCTGGGGCTGGAGAAAACGGCTGAATGGTTAGAGCAAGACAAAGTATTAATTCAACTGGAGTGACGTGTGAAGGTTAGCAGCTGGAGCTCTTTCATGCAGCTCTCCAGGACAGTGGCAGTAACTGTGAAAGGATATTGAGCCATGAGTATGGGACACAGCTGGGTGTTGGGTATGAACACACAGTGCATCAGAACAAAGTCATCAAGAGCAGGGTCTGCAGAAACAAAGAATCCACAATTAATAGCGTACACTGACTCACCATTACCCAATTCAATTCGTTGGCTGTTCTTGTTGAAGCTGGGATGAAACTAAATCAAATCCCTGGAAACTTGCTTAGATCCTATACAGTATAATGAATGCGCAGTATCCCTCACTGTTCTGCTAAATACGCCTGGACTGAACATCCTCTTAAAAAGAACATTGTAAAATTTGAGTAAAAGGGAAATTAATGTCTACCACCTCTTCTGGATTTTGAAAAAGAACTGACCGAATGTATGATGTATGACCCCCTAGAAAAAATAGATTACGTAGGCAACAGTGAATAGGTTCACAAAAGGAGAAGAAGTCCCGAAAGATAGCACTGGCTTTCAGAGGTGTACAGTATCAGATGTAATATACATTATAAGAACAAAGGCTTGTGCCACTGTACAGGTAAATTGAAAATGCCAACTCTACATTCCTTGCAGAACAAGTATTCACCCAAAATCTTGTAATTCATCAGACCTGCTCCAAATATGATGCCCTAAAAAGAAGGCTCTTAAAATTTTAATTTCTGTAGTATCTGGGGAAATAAATGTAATCTGTCAATTGTACCCGATTCAGTGAAATTTGAATCCAAGCGCATGGTTTCTAGGAAGTGCTCTAGAATTTTCTCTGGTGTTCCAGACATCACCATGTACCTAGGAAGAGGAGGTACAAAGAAAACTATAAACACATGACACAAAAACCATCTTATAAACTTAAACAGCATTGGCCAAAAATTTCTTCTCCCTTCATAAGACTTATAACTGGCATATTAAAATGACTTGGGAGAAAATGTTGCTTAATGACTTTTAATTTTAATTTTGAATCAAGGATAAATAACAGTACAACTTATATTATGATTTTAAGCTGCAGTCACTTAAGGACGTTAAGAGGCAAAATCACCTCATCGCATGAATTCAATATTTTGAAAATGATCGTTTCACATACAGTATTATTCAACAAGTCTTCAAAATTAAAGTGTTAACTGAGCATTTACATGTGGCACAGGAACAGAGGGAGATTTAAATTTTCACTGAATTTTTACGACAGTGTACCTGTCACAGAATTGTTCCAAAGCTTTCGCAGCTAGCATGTTTTATAAAGTTACTGGGCTTCTATATAATATTGAACAACACAAAATCAGCTTCAATGCATTTGTTTAATTTTAATTATCATGCTGTAAGTGTTTTCTAAGGTAATCTAACTGTATTTTTTAAAGGCAGCTCACAGGAATCATTCCTTCTTCCTTACACTTAAACACTTTACATTAAAAACCGACAGACAAAAGCCACCTGAAAAAAAAAGAAGGAAGAAAAATGATCACTTCTGAAGAGAATGCCTTACTTTACAGTTTGAATTGTGTGATCATACCATAAGCCATTTTCATTGTTCTATCATAACTGACTCTTTGTACAGAGCTAAATACTGAAACAGAGTAGAATCCAGACAGGCTAAAAGCATCAGAATACAAGAACACAGCAGGGAAAGCAAGAGAAATGACCCACTGTGAACAGCAGGCACTTCACTGTGGAGAAGTGCAGCTGACACCCAGGAGACACTCATGTTTTAACCATTACAGTTGATTAAGTAGTGTCCCTGTCAGCCATGTCTCACAGACTGGTTCTGACCTACAGAGGACTGATGAACTCCAGTTTGCCCTCTGCACAAGAAACTCATGATCATCACTATTAACGTGACCTTTTAATACTAAGCCGGTGAGGTAAATGAAAAGAGTTTCAATTAAGCCTTGACAACTGCTTGAGGCCCTCCGCGTTCCCTGATAACGGTACCCTAAAGCTAATGCTGGCACCTTTCAATTACTGTAGCAGTCCAAACACCAAGTCCTGCCTTTCCAAACAAGCAGGGAAAGCTTAGGTTCTGAATGCTTCTAACTTTCAGAAACAAAAGTACATCTCATTTCTATTTTTGGCCTATGGCTTGGAGAACCTGAAGTTTGGGAAGTTTTGAGTTTTGGGAAATATGTACATTACAACAGGAATTTGATCACTTGCAAAGGCTGCTGTTTGTGAATTGTGGGAACAGGGGTCAGGGTCATCTTACTTGTACTGTGATGATGCGTTCCCATGATTTAGAACTCGGCTGCCAGTGGAAATTTTCTCCAAAACCAAGACATCTTGCTCATGTTCTTTCAGTCGGACTGTGTTGGCTTCAACATCCTGCCAAAATTAAAATAAATCATGTAATTCAGGTTTTCAATCCAGTGCTCATACAACCCTTATTATCCTCACACCTGAAAGCAAACTCTGTCATCCACTGTGAGCAGGCGATGACAGAAAGCGAGCTCAATTCAATCTGGACTGAAACCTTGTGTGTCATTATCAAAATGAGCTTTATATACACAGAGGAATCAACTATTGTGGCATACTGTCAAAATAAAAACATTACAAAGCTTGTATTGGGTACAATTTCCTTAGCATTAAAAATGTAATGATATTAATAATGCCTTGTGATTATAAAGCACATTTCATCCCAGTGCATATCAAAGCATGTCACATGTCAGAGAGGACATGACAGGATCAAAAATGTATCTTCTCATGATTCAAAACGTAAATGACATCATGAAAAGTGCCTTGCATTCTAGAATTCAGACCCTTCCTATAATGTCCCATTTTACCAAATTATGAAATGATGCCGACAATTTCAAAACCAAAATGTTCAGAGACTGAAGACTTCTAAGGGTATGATGAGGTCCAGCAAAAACGAAAGATAATTTTGTTTACGTCTTTATTAACTCTGCACACCAGCTTGGTGTAATTATTACTGGTTCTGCTTGCCAGAATTCTTCTTGGCTCAAACTCTCTTAAGTTGTTTGGGGATTTCTAATGGACAGCAGTGTTCAAGTATTTCCACAGATTCTCAGTAGAATTCAAGTCAGGACTCTGACTATGCCACTCAAGGACATAAATGTTTTTATTCTTGAACCACTACAGTGTAGCTTTGGCCTTGTTCTTTGGATAATTGTTCTTTTGAAATGTTTTTTTGTAAGATTTGCCAGTTCTTTGCTCCGTCTCTGTTCCCAGCAGTCTTGACAAGTTTCCCAGTCCCTGCTGATGAGATACTGAACTACAACACAATGCTGCTAGCCTAACAGGGGTGGTGTTACTAGGTGATGCTCTATGTTTGGTTCCCAAAAGTTCCAGTTTTGTCTTGGGCGAAGGCTTTTGTGGTCACACGTTACTTGCTCTAGGCAGTGTCTGAGTTCCTTCTGCGTCGTAATGATGTGCTTCACCATGCTGAAAGACATAGTAAGGGTCTCAAAACTGTTGATACACCCTTCTACTGATCTGCGCTGTTTTACAGCTTTACCCTTGAATTGTCTGGAAAGCTCTTTGGTCTTCATGGTTAAAATTCACTGCCATTTCTTCCAGAGATACAGTAGGTGTATGAAATCATGTGAACTACTATTATTGTAAAAAATTAATTTAGGTTTATACACACAATGAAGGAGTTGAATACATTACATTAACATCACTTTTCCTTTTTTCTTTCATACTCATTATCAGTTTCCTTCTTTTTCTCTGGAATGTGATGAGAAGGTTAAAATATAAAACATATTAATTGCTACTTCCGTGTGTCCTGACCGCTAGCATTAAAGCAACAAAATGTGAAAACTGTGCAAGAGTTTGAATACTTTTACAAGGCACTGTACTGTATGTGCCCAATACACCTCAGCCATTTAACTTAAGAGGTTTTTAGTCTTGAAAAGAGAAATTATGAATGGAACATTTTGCCTGATTCAGGAAATCAAAATCTTCAAAGGAACTGAAAAAAACCCTTTGTTTTTCTTCATACCAGCAGTGAATCACGAAGCAGTGGACAGAAAGTGTTGTGGGAATCTCGTACAAGATACCCCGCCATGTTATTGAAGCTGATACCCGACTTCTTTCAGACATGATCCTCTGATCAATTAGCTGCTAGCAACCAAATGGGATAGATGAGACGAAAGGATTCCTGTCCTTTACAGCCATGGTTATGATTTCCTGTAGACTGCTGCATCCTCCCCACTGATAGCTGTGGTGAGAGTACTGGCGCACTATGGCTGCCGTCACATCATCCAGGTGGATGCTGCACATTGGTGGTGGTGGAGGAGATCCCCATTACTTTGAGTGGAGTGTCCAGAAAAGCGCTATATAAGTGTAAGTAATTATTATTATTAACTTCATTTTGCATCACAATATTTTCTGTACAATTTGAAATTATAAAATGAATACAGGATCTCACATTAAATATCACTGGTATATCAGAAATAATCGTTTGAATAACTACTATATTTTCAATGAACAATTTTAGAGATATGAAAGACTAAGTCAAGAATTAAAAAATGCTCATACAGAATGCAAAATCACATTTCAGGGTTTTACCTGAATATCAATACATATGCAGTACAGAGCACTGTAGCTCAACACAGTGCTCTCAGTGGTGACACTAAACTGGAGATGAGCTTTTATTAGCCATTTGACTTAAATCCTACCTTCCCTGTAAGCAGATTCGAAGGGATTTACAAGAGAAGTGGAGATTTACATGATAACAACCTGATGAAGGTGCTCACACAGATTACAATCTTTTCCAATTTAACACAGAGGATCAAATGCTAATCATGTGCTGTCAATCCAAAGTCATATGATTCATATGATAGCAGAAAAAGAAAAAATCTGAATTTAAGCTTTGCCTGATGTTTCAGAGCTCCCATTGATTTTCTTCCAAGGTGAAACAATTTTTTCTCTTCATTATTTTCACCTTTTTCTGCATTTACAGTGTGTGACGTTGCATTAAGAATACATTAAGCCAATAATAATAATGAACATTTTACATTTAAAATGCCTTGAAATCATGAAATCTCAAAGCATATTGCAACATTATTCCTGTTTTATGTTTTTATGTGCTTCCACATTGGGTAGCCGATACAGAACTTGGTTGCAATATCCCATCTGTACCAGCAGAGGGCGACTGATACCAACTTGTATAAAGGACCAACTGAACCTCAGCCCACAGACTGCTACAAAGAATTTCACACCTGCACTTCCCAGGGTACAAGCACTTTGAACCAATTATTAATGTTGTATTTTATATCAGAGACTTCTAATAACCTGATAACCAAATAAGCTTATTTCGACATAAGCTCATTTGTGCCACTGACAACAAACTTTTTTAAACAATATGGAAGAGATTAAGTTTTTTCAAGGCCTGGAAGAAAGGTTTATATTCATCCCTCCATTCGTTACTAACGGACCAGCCTCCATTGTTGCTACAGATGAGGCAGAATTTTCTGGAGCTTTAATAAATCCCAGCAAGGATTTCTTGCAGCAGGACATAACAGTCCCTGAAAATCCATCCAACCATCTTCTAACCACTTTATCCAGAGCAGGGCCCCAGGGGAGTAGGAGTCCTGGACAGGACGCCAGTCCATCACAGGGCACACACACACAGAAACAGACACTCACACCAGAGGCCGTTTTCCCAGAAGCCAGGAGGCTTCCTGGGCACGCAAACACAGGGAGAACATACAAACTCCACACAGATAGCACCCAAAGCCTGCAATTGAATCCAGGGCCCCCCACACTGCGGGGCAGCAGCGCCAACAGCGCGCCTCCGTGCTGCTCAGTCCCTGAAACGGTTCGGTGAAGCTGTAAGGGGTGGATGCTGACTTACCCTCAGAATCCTGTTAAAGTCCTCTTTATCCACCCGGAGAAAGTGGCAGTTATCCTCCCTCAGCACAATGGAGGCGGCTCGCGGAGCGTCGTTTACCAGAGCCAGCTTACCGAAGTCATCTCCCTCGTGTAGCGTGCACACCACACCCTGAAACAGGAGCCACGCTGCGTTACAGCCCTCTTGTGCTTCCTAATGAACCTTAACAGCCCTGCTCTGGGTGTTAGCGGTGAAAAGATGTACAGTATGTCACTTGTGGATCTTACATGACGAAGGACCAGACAACGCAAGAGGTGTGCAGTTGAATCGAAGATAGAAAATACACCTTGTACTCGACTCGCAGATGCATTATTCAAGCCTCATCCGATAAGAACTCCACGGGTTTCACATCTAATGAACTGCCTCGGACATTAAAATGTCATTAATAACTACTTCATCTTATTATAGGTCTAAAAAGGCCAACAGCAGAGCCATTAAATGTACAATTATAGATAATATACCATGACAAGCACACACAATATATCATAAGGTGACATAAGTTAGCTGTCTTTTTCCTTACGGCTTGTATGTAAGCTGAAAAGCTGAGGTTTCTGTATTCAACCCAAGGCCTTTCAAAAGTAATAAACTACAAAAACTCAAACCATTGCTGCAAAAAGGCCTTGTTATCAAGTTACCGAACTGAGAGGATCAATGCAAATCTCATTTGATGATTTTCCCCACATATTTCTGCTTAAGACATTAGTCAGTGTTGGAGAGCTATGAATTATTTAATTATCCAGTTTAACAGTATTGGGAATCAACATGTTTTATGGCATACATTATCTGGTGACATGCACAGTTCATACGCTTTACAAGAAAAAAAAGTTCAAAAACCAAATTGATAGCTTGTTTAATTCAGCAATGAGGAGATGCTACACTTAAGGGTAGAATTATGTTAACCTGATTCATCAGAACCAGCTAAAAGGAATTAAACATTTGAGAAGTCCTTACCTTGCCATAAATTACTACATTGACAGATCCCTTAAGAATGATATACCAGGATGTCCCTTCTTCTCCCTGGTTAAACACTGAAAATGAAACACAGGAGCATAAACTAAATAAAACCAATAAACCAGTGGTCAAGAACCACCCGTACACACCCTGGTCTTGAACTGCCGAGACGAACGAGCTATGAAAAAAAACACAGGAGCAGTATTCTATCACAGCAGCATAGCAAATTAAGGTAATTAGTGTGTGTTATTGTGCAGTACACATATGCAGCTCGTGTGCTACAGAGGTCCCACAACATGATATGCTGATCCTTATGGACCCACAGGTTTTAAAGACATAATGACATAATGTGCTGAAATTCTGGTCATCGGTCTTGCATTCCTGTAAATTAAATCACCTAAACATTTTAAAGACAAAAACCATTTAACGCCAACAACTCCACTTTGAAGTGTGGCATCACGTATGGTACAACACTTGCATCGTTTATGCAGCGATCAGTGTTAAAACATTTCAGTGTTTGCCTCAACATTTTGAGGAAAGAATACAAACTTGCAGAAAATGACAGGGAGAATGTAATGAGAAACAGATATTTAAAATTTTAAACAAAGCAGGTAACAGAAGACGTCATAATAAGTGCTAAAAAATTACGAGGAATGTTCCTGCAAAATGAGCATACATGAAAGACTTGTGACCTATTGCAAAAATAGTCCGTCTCAGAAAGAAATTGGTGAACAAATTGGAGGGATTTACTTACATACTGTTCCTGCCTTCGCATGCGATTCAAAGATCAGCACCCCTGCTAACTCCCTCTTTACCTACCGGGAGCAAAGAGGAAAATTATCTGAGCACAGAACTGGACTGAAAAATCATACTAGGGCAATTTACATGTATTAAATGTAACTGAATATGGGCTTACCGTTGTGGAAAGATGAGATAAGGCCTTTATATGTAAAAGCTCTTCATATATAATTTCTAAATCATCTACTGTTCTTTGGCCTGGCCTGTGAATGAGAAAAAAAGGCAGTATTTTAAGATTATATTTTTCAATAAAGATTTTTAATTTGTTTACAGAAACTATATAACTCTTAAAATGGTCAAATAGGGTTTATTAAATGTAATGGTCTTTAAAATAGCCAGTGTGTGGTGATAAAGTAATGGACTTATTTGTGGAAAACCTAAGGAACACAGAAACATGGGTGACTCTTTGATAGTTCAAGCAGGTATTTACAGTACGACAGCATGTGTCGGCTGCAAAGGATCAAGTAAAGGTTTATTCCATGCTGAAAAGAGAAGAAAAGAAACACAATGTTTCGACTATGGAGCCTTCTTCGGTGAAACCCAAAAGAAGGCTCCACAGCCGAAACATTGTTTCTTTTCTTCTTTTTTTCACCATGGAATAAAGCTTTACTTGACTCTTTGATGCTACCCCAAGGATACAACCACAAGTGTCAATAAAGACATGGGCTCCAGCTCAAGAAAAGATTTCTTGATGCCTCTAAAATCACTTTATGTGAAGGTCAAGTCTTTAGAAATCAATGATAATGTCACCAATAGCGCAATCATGATATTTGGAGTGGATATAACATGTCTGACTGCCCTCTTTTTAGCTGTTAATGTAGCAGACATGGATGGATATCTCCACATCTTGAGTGGCTCAGCCCAAGCTTCAAAGTCACTAAGTCAAAAGGCTGGTCTCTTGAAGTGGAGGATGTGAATGCACTTGAGAGTCAAAGTTACTGCATCGGCCTCCCGTATCCCGAGACAAGCCTCCAATCTGTCAATTTGAGAAGGCGTAGACCTTAGGGCTAATTACCCAATCAGCTTTCCCATTCACCACCATACCTCCCAGCTTCAGGATACTTTAGGGCTACTCGCAGTAACCTCAGTGCTCAGTATTGGGTCTCCTTGGTGAGCTTCGCTTCCGTGTTCCCTGAGGAATTAACCTGCGTGAGCTACTTGTTCCTGGAAATAGCTTCAGTTAAAGGGAGTGCTATAGTATCAGCCGACTCCCCGCGCACACGGAGCCCAGGATCAAACACAGGACTCACGGCTTCCTCAGTATCATCCTCATGTGAGCATCGGGGCCCGTCTGGGAGAGGAGAAGCAGGGTGTCCTGCAGCTCCTCTTCACTCTCCTTCTTCTCCTCCTCGCTCAGCAGGGGGGCATCCTCTCGCTCGTCGTCCAGGAAGCGGTAGAACAGGTACTTATCCTGGAAGTTGTGTTCCTGATCCACTGCAGGGTGAAAAGCCGACAGTCCTATCACATTACGGTACCCGTGATCACAGCATCTTCTGATGACCATGTTCTGAATCGGCTCCACAGTGTGATTTTACATGATCACCTCCCTTCCTAGTGAGATATCGTGAATGGTTGACATCAAGGAAAATTTGGCTCTAAAGCAACACAATCTTGCTCAAAAAAATCTCACACCCTGCAATGGGTACATCTATATTGCAAAATAAAATATGTGAGAGTTCTGTATTTAAAAAGTGCAAGTGGGATCCCCTTTTCCAGTTTCCAACTGTCAACATAAGTCACTCCCTTCTGTTAATATAAAATTTCCTTTATCCTTCAACTAACTTCTTTTTCCCCAATAGAATCGATTTGAAAATATACTCTTGCCTAATCATGATGATTATATCTGATAATCCTAAATATAAAGAATGCTGATTAATGTCTCATTAATGTGTACAAACAACTCCCATGTAGAATGTTCTGGAAATGAAATCAATATCCTCTTGGGTAAGTTTCTGAAAAGGTCCAACTCTTTTTAAAGCAGGTTGATGCAGATCACATCAATGTCAATCTTTTTTCTTTAATGAAACCATTTTTTATTGCCCACTCCCTTCTGACTGAAAGAGTAATGCAGTTACAGCAAGTACAAATTCCTTTAGGCCCAGAACGTTATGGAGGGAAGACGACGTTCTGTCCCGAGTGAAGCTGTATTACCGTGGTTTAGAACTCCCTCCTCCAACAGCACCTGCCACATGCCCACAGCCTGGGTGCGAGAGTGGACACAGGGGCTCTGCTGCATCAGCCAGTCCACCAGCTCGGTCCCCACACAGCACTGCCTGTAAGAGGCAAGCAGCACACAGCACAGGCTTAGTTGGTTCCCACCCCAGGCTCATCAAGAGAGCTGCCTTCAGAAAGTGCCAATTCAGGCAACATACAGTAGGCAGAGACCGTCCATGCCATCTAGCAGACAGCAGGTATGCAGATACACCCGGGCATTGCTTGAAAGCAGTCTGAGCGAAGTAGCCCTTGCTTACAGCAGTGCCCCAAACAGGAATCTGAACCTGTGACCTTCCACAAGTACAGGGCCCTAACCCTACTCCACACTGTTGTTTCTTTAGAGGATTGCTGCAAAGGTGATGCCGTCCGTAGGCTCAAACACATCGAGTGATCAGCGTGTAGCCTGTATTAAGGGCACTAAAAACCAGAGTAAATGAGAACACCTCCTTATTAACTTGAAAACTGAAAACCTAGATCTTTAGATCTCGGCTCTATAAATGCTTACACTGTGTGCAATACTGCAGCTGAAATGTGAATGCTAAGGACTGCTCCCTTCTAGTTCAGAGCATCTGAACCTTCTTTGTGCTAAGCTGGAAACGTTTACGGATCAGGGCCCTTTAGGCAGTGTTATATGACACAGATGTGGGCACATTATATAATGCAGGATATTTTTTCTAATACTCTATGGAATCAAGTTCCATAGATTATTAAAGCAGCAGCATAATTATTATTTACTTGTACCTGATTTTTTTTAGAAATTCAAGTCTTAAAAATAATACACATTGTGTTGAAGATGATAATTTTCTTTTTTACTTGTATCAGGTATCACTACCTCATTTACTGTGTTACTAACTCAAGTAGAATTCAAAGAACGAACTACAATAGTCAAAATTAAATGTTTTGGTTAACAGTTGTATTGTGTTTGGGGACAAAAACTCAAAAGGTCCTTGAATACAGCATTGTATTCAATCATTTTAATTTATGAAACTTTCTTAGTAAATGAAACAAACGATGCAATATTTTGGTAATGCAAACCTGTATGTCTTCAGATGATACTTTCTATCTCTGATCATAGGGGGAGCTCGAGAAAGGATGGAGTTCCGTAAAATTTTTCCAGCCCTCAGGATCTTTTCAGATGGAACCTAAAATGACAAAAACGTGGGAAATGTGCAGTCTGACTTTGTATCTGCTTGTGTTCAGGATCCCTGAAGCTGAAAATTTCCATTTTTAAGAAGTGCCGCACATAAAAAATAGCTGCTTTTCATATGAAGCTCCCGAAATCTGCATAATGGTTCTAGGGCAAAGTTTGACTTGACATTCAGTGAGTGGTGTCTGAAAAGTAAATTATGAACACAAACTGAAACACAAAGAAACATCATTAATTTAAAATTGCTTACATTTAAAAACAAGATCACAATGTTAGACTGGCACGAATTGGTCCGCAATTTCCTTAAAACACCAGTAGTGGTTCTTTGTTCATAATTGTTCATGTTTATTATTGCTTTAACTTGACTGTACAGTCAAGACTGTACAAATGATATTTGAAATAAAATAAAATGTGACATGCTTATATTTTTATCAGTGTTGTCAGTATTTTAAAAATTATTTGGCAGAGACGACTGTTTACAATGTACTACTTGGGGTACATTTATTAATTTTACAGTATGATGTTGTAGATTTTCCTTCTGGAGAAAAAAGGTTTTTCAAACAAATTAAAATTTAAAAGCTAGAAACCTTGTCTATATTATAAAATCTTTTATGACACTAAAAAGTTCTTCTGACCAAGAAAACAGCTTAAATTCACTATCTGTTCTGTACTATAGTTGTGGATGAAAGTGACGAAAAGTGATAGGGTTGACTAGCACAGGAGCAAAAGCTCATTAATTAGTTTCTATTTTCAGGATAAGAAGTAACAAAACGCAAAAACTTAGAATAACAATCACAGGTACAAAACATACTGTACAGTAGTTGTGTTCAACCTAGCTTACAAAGTGTTTCAGTATACTGTATGCTCAAAGCCTACATTAAGTGTTGAAACCACACCCATCCTCCTTTTAAACTTTTACCATTCATCTAAGGTGTTTTTTTAGCCTAGGACTTGTGTTCTGCAAATATCCTGAGACACTATCCTTCCCTTGTGGTCTTAATGACGTCAGACACAAAGATATGTGTCTTTCACATTTCCTGCAATTGCATTAATAGCCTTTTTCAACAAGACTCAATTAAGTGCACCGCTACTCTTAGTTTTTCCTTGTTGATAGATTTTGCAATTAACCATGCATTTGCGTTTCCAGATCATTGTTGATTCCACATACAATACTGTACACAAATGTCAACCATCAGCCCAGCCTGGTGTGAAGTGGGGTTTCCAGGGAAACATCATGGAAAAACTGAATCTCAATACCTTAAACAAGAGTGGTTTAGGCTTAGATCTGTGGCGCAGCTCATACGTAAACTGTTCCATATGAATTGAACAGCGCAGGCAAATCCGACGAAAGATGTGAAATTCACAGCATATCAGTTCGACCTGATTGTAGCCATGACCAGTCACTGAACCATGACTAACAGATGCTGTTTCAAAACTCTTGTCAGCTGAAGCAACTAAAACATCCAGACATCTTGTGCTTCCACTCTCTGTGATGATTTTATTGAGCCACAGGGGAACACATGCTACTGTACCTGGAGATTTTATTTTATTTCTTGTAAAATAATGGTATCTCCCCATACCCTAATTCATACCTGATTTAATAACGATGTTCCTTAGTCACAAGTAGTCACTTATTCAGCAAGCACTGCGGTTTAGCCTTTGTAAAGTGTACTGGTGCAGAATGACCAAAGCACAGCATTTTAGAGATGACTGCAGTTTTGCACAACCTTGAAATGCGTCCTTCTTTAAGGATGGCATTAGACCAAAGCTCATTTTTCATTTTTTTTTCATTTCATTAAGTTTAGTCACCTCAGTAGAGGCTTAAAGGTCTCACTAGAGGCCTTGAAAACAACACAGAAAGATGAACATCTGAGAAGTAAGAAGAGTAATCAAAAAGAGAAATTATCTGCTCAGGAGGATAAAATGAACACGTGATGAGCACATTCTGTGTGTTAAATGTAAATTAAGATAAGTTTAAAGGGAAAAGACCTTTAAAATCAAAGAAATTAAAACAAGCAGTGTCATTCTTGTGTTGTCCATATGTTTCCGGAACAAAATATTATTTGAAAGGAGAAATACAGCAAAACCCATCACTCTTATCATTGAGTGAGAATAAATTATTTCATACTAGATTAGCCATCGCACACAGCAGGCTGGAAACAGGCTGAAAGGTAAATGATGTCATATTTTAATGTGTGGAAAAATGATAATGCCCTATTATGTGATAGGAACAATACCTGCACATGGGAAAGGTTATGAGATGAAAGGAAGAGAAAGGGCAATTGGTTCTAATAATACCTTATTTCTAATCCATTACTGCACTGCCTCCACAGTTTCAAACCTGTTCATACATTCCCACTGAATACATTTTGTAATTGTGTGCATGTCTGATGTCAAGACAAAATGTTTAATATTCAGAAGGTGAGAGAGGAGCGAGTTCCTTGTTCAGACATTGTTTTCTATCTGTTTTACTGACAACCTTGTGGGTTACTTCTTTCCTTTCACATACCTAAGTTCTCTCTAGGAATATTGAAGTGAAACAATTATTAGTAGTTTCAAAGGTGACATAAGCTTACCCATTTTGTGTTAAGCTGTAGGAGAAATGGAAAATGGAATAGGTGGGTCCAAATTAAGCTTTATGAGAGTATCTTTATTTTTCAGTGAGATAAGTCACAATGTCAACTTCAAATATTATAATTTTACCTCTGGATCATGCCCTAACAGCACTGAGGACAGCGATAATGTTGGGAAAATACAACTTAAAATTCAAGATGTTTTCATCATAAGCACTATGAAACAGAGTCTTTTAAATTTATTAATTTAAAACAATAAATATTCTACAGCAAAAGTCACTTTTTATTTTTTTAAGAAAATGTCAACATTCTGAAACCGAAGATTTTAAAACACCTAAGTTTTGTATGAACTAGATTGTGAAGCAACTATTATTATTACTTTTTTATACTGTATAAGGAACTGTAATGCTAAGCTAAAATAAAAACAGAAGTTCCTCCTTGTCTGAGATTAATTAGTTAATAAGGTCCTCCTTGTCTGAATCAAAAACACTAGTCAGGAAAGGAGCAAAAATCCATTGTTGAAGCTAAAAGACTCCTTACTATTTCTTGTCCTTTTTGTTATAATACACATACTGTACATTGAACTGGGTTTATTAAAAGAAACAAAAAAACATGAAGGCTCTGAGTCATTGATTCAGAAAAGCTAACTGAGCACTATATAATAAATGCAATGTGCTGCTTACAAGCTATAACTCATCGTACTGTCGGACGGACAATTCTGTGAAGGATCTCTTTTGTCCTGTTTCTGCATAAGGTTTTCACAAACACTGTGTTCAGAAATTGTCAACAGCTGGTGAGTCTTTTCCTGTGCACTTAACAATGTATTACACACTCCCCACCACCAATGCATCGTGCAACTATTAAAAGATAATTATTAAATATTTAAAAAAAAACACATCAATCAATCACCACTGTAATTGATCTGTGACCATTTCTGGTGGCTGATGGAGGCGCAAGTCAAGGAAAACTGACACGTTTCCTTGTGTAAACTGTGGCCCAGTTTACACAAAACATATTTGAAACACAAGAAAGTGATTCCATAATGTAATCAAGATTTTAAAATGTATTTATTTTTATATATCTGATGCAGCATTTTACTCTTTACATACTGCATATGAAATTACAACTTTAGAACATGTTCACTGAACACTAGACATACAGTAAGATCCTCATCTTGGATTAAATTATTTCAGCACTTTACTGCTTCAAATGTGTGAGCCACATTTATAGCTCATTGTACTTGCCACAAACAAAACATCCAGAAGGAGCTTCAATGTTTGCAATGTTAAATTAAGACAGAAAGAATACTTTCTTAGGTCATGAAAACAGCACCAAACGAACTATTGTGGTTATTTTTAGAGAATGTGGTGTTTTGACAAGGCACTTGCTTGGCCCATACTGTAGCTCTTTTCAAAACAACACGCAAATCCAAATATTGTGAAAAGGTCATTTCTAAAATTCTCATGCAAAAGGTGACTTCTTATCTATGTAAACGGGTAAGGAAATCTCTAAACTGTCTATAATGAGAGGTGGGGCAGGAATTACTATAAATGTCTACGTACACCGAAATGGAATGTCCACTGCTGTCTCTGTTTAAATTTAGAAATTTTAAACAAACCCCGCTTTCCGTTTTTTTTCTAGGAACCAAGAGACTGAAGTGGATGCTGACACATTGGTCCACACGTAAGCAAAGTAGGTAAATAATTGTGCCTCATGTATTTCTCATTGTGAAGATCTGTAATGAGACGGCAACATCTTAAAACCTCCCCAGTAAACCCATTCAGGAAATCGACTTCAGTTCCAAGGTTGTTTTGCCAAAGTCGCTGACAGCACAACTTATAAATTTACACGTTAAATCATGGAAAAAGAGCAGTTAGAGAAAAACCTGGAACGTAATGGAGAAATTAAACGAAGCAGGTCTGGGAATGATCCATTTTCAATTCAATTCAGTCTGTTTCGGTTCCTCTTGCCTGGGAGATACCAGAATTCAAACTGAAAACTGGTTAAATAAATACAGTTTTTTTTTACAATTTATGCTTTTTAATCCCAGTATGTTAAATATTTCAGCCCTTAGGTTTAAAACGTTCGGTGTGACTTCTTGTGAGAGGACCATTTACTGTTCTGAAGTATCTGTTATTTAAAAAAATTATCAGATTCTCAAGGGGCCTTTATATAAAAAGTGCAAATGCATTTTCCTGATATTCTCAAGAATAAACCACTGTAAATGCACCTTCGCCTTTTAGTTAATCAACTTACATTAACTCTGCGGCATGCCTGAAGAAGATTCTCTCTGATTACACAAGCTTAATCTCCAGGAGGTGTTCAAGGAAAATGGAACCCTGTCCAGTACATCACTTTGCACTTAATATTTGTTAGGTCATATTGCTGCACTGTTGTTAATAGCCATGGGTTATTTTTATGAAGATGACGTTATTAATTTAAAGAGGTATACCTACCTTATTCAGATTTTTAGAGATGGATCCTAAGGCATTATTAGTCATGTTGTCCTTGTCCGGCATTCCTAAAAATAAAGACAAAAGATTCTCAAGAATCGTACCTGTAGCGAAGGAAGTTTCAGTTTTGGCTTCTTCTATCCATCTTTTAAGCATGAGGACTATGTGGCATTCAGAGTATTTCATATCAGAATAAGGGCTATATTTGAATAAATTTGGGTAAGTGGGGAAAAAACAGGTTTGTTTTTCAGGGGAGCGAGGGTGGAGGGGAGAGAGTTCTTTCAAATTTTAACCGTCTACTGAACACTGACTTGCAAATTCAAAAGTCTGTGATGGCATTTTTTCTTTAGTGCAAGTCTCTTCATCATTATATAAATACAGGGCCATATTGACAAGTGCTAAAACTCCCTTCATACTCCCTGCTATTCTACTGCAAATATTAAAAGCTATTTATTTATAGTATATATATAAGGCCTGATTTATAAACTGGAAATGTAACTGTAAGAAGAAGCCATTAGGAAATGAAGAAATGAGTATATGAATTGTCAAATTTAATAAGAAACCACCATCCATCATACTGTTATAAATTCATCACTTCATTGTGTTTGTAAAATATGAAATCTGTAATGATAATTATGATGTAGAGATAATTGCTTTGATCATTGTAGAAAGTGGCAGACTTTTCAGTTTGATGATTAGCCATAAACAGTAATAAATTAGTCAGTAATTTTGTTGTAATATTATATTATGTAATATATCATATCAACATAATAACATATAGCACAACGAACGTGTCCTCAACACCCACAAATTTCAGATCACTAGTGCTGATGTAGGCATCAACAAAACATCTCTTGAGAACACAAAATGAAAACAGTACATAACAATGTATTACAGCTGACCCAAGCATTTCACATATTTCATTAATACTTATATAAGAGTCCTTGTGTGATGCAGATTGCCAATTAGTTTGTACACGGATGGATGATTTCTCCTGCATGTCTTAATCAGAATAGTTTTGTTTTACTTTCAATTAGAATCGGGACATTTGTAATGTATTTTTTGAAGTATCTCACATTCAAAATATAGTAATAGTCGAGGCAAAAAAACTGCTCTTTTTTTAGTACAATTATTATTTCAAAACACGTCATAATTCAGTTCAAAGGAAAGAAAATAAAAATGTTCAGGTATACAGTATGAACACATTATATTACATCAAAACCTCCACCTGTGCTCGGCCTAGTCACATTTGTACAGTATATTAAATATTGCTAGCTGCTTCTCCAAAGAGGTACTGTTAAAACTTCTCTTGTTCACAACCCTTTAATCTAAACTGCATAACAGTAAGAGTTTATTTGATTGTGAGCTCCCTTGCATGTTATATTTTGCCAGAAGCCCAGTGCAACTTCTATTGCTGCCTTATGAAACATGCATTACCACAGTGAGTTGGCATAGTTTTTCAGAGTTTTCCTGTGGTTTTACCATGTGTTTTGATTTGTTCTTGTTTCCCACATGCTTTACCACAAATCCGTAAGGGCTGCAGTCTCTTTAACCACTGTAGTATGACCAGTTTTTGCAGTACAAAGCATTGTATTGCGGGTTCAGGCGAAGGTAATTAAAAAAGACAAACTCTGCACTGATAAGGAATGCAATACACAGGGAGATATAATAAAGAAAGAGACTGGCGTGCAAAAGAATTCAGCATGATCCAATTACACCATTAAAGAAATTAACTTAGACCTGTTTCCAATATTAACAAACAGGAGTGTACAGTGACAGTTACGAATTTCAACAAAATATCATGCTATTGAAAGTGAAGATAACAACACATTACAGGGGAGCAGCAACGTTATTTTAAGATTTGGGGGTTAGAAAGAAATAGCACTGATGAGTGCATTTCAAACCACAATAAAAGTGAAATCTAACTTGTTACTTGTAAAACTTTTGATTTCCATAACAAATAGACTGAATTCCCAAGTATGTGCAGTGCCACGTTGGGTGATTCAGAACGCGGCAAACTTCCGGTGACGTGTTGCTGCCTTATTACATAGTTGTGAATAAATCTCTTTTAATCCAAATTCAATCCAAATATACTGCTCTCAATTTCAAGACATTCCCAGACAAAATTGGTCGGTTTTGCCTACAAATACTACTTGTTGACTCTGCATGCAGATCACGTTGGAATGCTTCTGCCATTAAATGTCTGCTGCACAACCTGTACTTATCCGTTCATGCTTCTCATTACACTAGTCACTACAGTGTCTAGTGAGAAGGAAGGGCCGCATCATCTTGCAACTCCTGCAAACTGTCGGGATGGCAAATATCCAGTACTTTCACAAAGTTTCCGATTCTGTGCTTAATTTGAAATTGATCTTTTGTTCTTCTACAAGGTCAATGAATTTATCCTGTTAACGAGATTCAATTACCAGTCTGAGAAATTGGGACAGCAGTTTCCCCTTTAACATTAATACTATATAAAGAGCAGAGTGTACTCTTTTATTTTTAATTTCAGAATAAATCTGTAAGGATCAGGTTGCTTCAAGTAAAAAAGCCTATTATTCAGCTTCTCTGTAAGCAGTAGGAATGTCATCTCACAGTGTTTTCTGCGAGTGCATAGTGGAAGGTACTGAGAGATTTTGAAGGTACTCTGTCAGCATTTTCGCCACTTCCAAAAATAAAGATTTCAGTAATATCCTCACATTAGATCCAACTTCAGCTATAGCCAGAAGAAAGGCAATACTCACTGTCACTGCTGGGCCCTGTTTCCATAACACCATAGGGAGGGGCCAGCAGTCCAGCCATATACTGTCGATATTTCTAAAAAAATGAAGAACAGATATTCATTTTAAAAAGAACATATTTTCAGCAGCCTCTTTTCACGTCTGCACTTGCTAAGGAGTCTGGCTTTAAATCCTGTGTTGTTTTACTGTAACAGTAAATTACCATCTGCTATTTCAAGAGCGCACCTTTTTCTGTGGGCAAATCTGAATGGTTTTAATTTTCAGATTATTTCATTGAAACCATGCAATTTAAAGCACTCCTGTTTTAGCGGCTTCTTTCCCTGTCTCTCTATTAAAATGACAATCCAGTGTTATGTATTTATGCAGCTGATTTTCACAGCTGGCACTATAAAGCTTTATAACTGGAATATAATTTAGATTCTACTTCAAACGGCTTCAGAATGTCACCCTGCTCCTTGTGGGAAGAAAAAAATGTAAACTATTGTTCTGACCTTGATATTTCACATAGATTAGGTTATCTATAATCCAACTCATTTAACACTTTGTTGGAATATTAAGCCTTTCTGTAAACTAGAGCTCAAAGCACAGGCATCACAACATTTCAAGTAAATATCAGATGAAGTACATTAATTTCAGAAAATAGTTTTCAGAGCATGTTTGTCTACTAAAGAGTGTTAATATAGCTAAACTGTCATTTAAGTAATCCCATAATTTGTATTAAATTATATTTAATTCAGTTGATATGAGTTAAGTGCTGAAATTCCTGCTGTTTTTCCAGTTTTTGTACTGAACGGCATTTACACATCTGTCAAAGTCCTTTTCAGTTTCAAGGATTGGTTCAAATTTAATTACCCTAACGAGAAGTTAGCACTGAATGATATTGATCTGCATCCTTATGGCTCTTATGCATCCTTATGGCTCTTACCACAAAATGTTCAAAGTCTCTTCTGAACCATCTTCATAAAACTGCATTTAAAAATCCAAAGTTCTGGAAATGTGCAAAAACAGCCATAATTTGAAAACTTACAGAATACACAGGTCAGCTTCAGGACTCATGAGCACCCAAGATGGATTAAACATACAGTATTTACCATCTATACTGTAGGTTGGTTGCTGAAGGGGAATAACTGACCACTAACTGATTTTGAATTGTCTGATAAATTCAAATGTCACAGAATGTAAATTAAAAACATCCAGTGATTTTATTTAGAACATGTTCCTCCCTAAGCTCAATCCCATTCTACAAACAATTCCACTATACACTCAGAAGTACGTATGACAGATGAAATGAATACATTTCTAGTTCACAGATCCCCGGGATTGTACACATTAGCCTGGAGTAACTGCAGTTGATCTTTCAGGTATTATCCACACAGGTAAAAATCTCCCAGGTTCATATCAGATGCCAAGGGTAGCCCAGCCAGAACTCTGGCATGGATATCAGGAAGCCTTTGCAAAACCTCCGGAGTCAAACATTTTGCGCATAAAGTCGTCAGGGAATCATGAACTTTAAGCAGCCTAGGAAAATCCATTTTCAGAATCTAAAAAGAATTGCGACTCTGATACGGACATTTCAGCCAGACACTTCATATTCTCGTGATTTTAAAACAAGTTGAATAACTACTGTTGCACTACGGTTCGGGGCAGCAACTTTCACAGAAACAATTTTCCATCCTTTTTAAGACACCTGTGTTTCTTATTTACAGTACATAACATACTTTAAATGCTTAGAAAGATCTAATGAATAAAACAATCTTCCTGTATAATGGGTTTTTGATCAGGTAAAGCTTTAATGGCTGATGATATTAGCCATGTTGTCCTACTTTTATGATTTTTATTCAGGTACTCTGCAATGCAGTATTGATATCCAGTGCAGTAAAGACCTGATAACTAAGATAACTCTGTCGAAGGTTTTATAATAATGCACATCTGTGATACAATTTCTACGTACCTTGACTACTTACTCAATTAAAATAAAATTTACACTTATGACAAAAGTTATCTGCAAATTTCAGATACAAGAACATTTAGAATCAAGTATGAACATGGACTAATGGGTGTTATAACATTATGAACTGGTCTTTCTTTTAAATAAAAATGGTAGTGTTTTAAATATTTGTAAGTCAAACAAAATAGTTCTTAAGAATGACAGAAAAATGACCAGATCACCAGGCTGTAATGTGGAACTCACATAGTTAAATTCATCCTGATTTGCTCAAGTGTTCTAAATCTAGAGTTTCTTATCTCTGTGGATTGTAGGGATTACACAAGATTACACCTCTAAAACCATACAGACAGAGAAGTTCTCATACTGCTTTGCACAAACAAGAACAAAAAACTGCATCAATTTGTAACCTTTCATAGTTAAAAGCAAGGTGCACTGCGTAAGGTAACAGGTTAAACTCCGTCTTTTATTAATTTTATATATGTTAATTTTCAATTATGGATGAATCCCAGTTAAAGATGTAATTTGAAAATGTAATTACTAAAACTGTTTGATTTTAAAAAAATACAATCAAAGTACAGACAGTCCTAGAAAGAAATGCCATAAATTACCTTTCTACATTCAACACAATTAAACACATTTATCATGCAAAGAAGGCACAGAGCCATAAATGAGTGAAATGTGTTGTAGGTTTAGATCTCTGGAACACTAATGTTCTGTCTTTTTGTTGAGCGTGCTTTGATATGGCTTTCATCTCCTGTCCATTCACATTTTGAACATGGCATTCTCATCCCTGGAATGCAATTATCTGCAATGAAGAATCGCAGGTGGACTATCTGGACTGTGCAAATTAATGTAGAGCAAAGAATGTTTGAATTTCTATTTAGATTTTACTCATACTTTTGATATGAAAGTGATTAAAATGGAAACGAGGAGCTAGGCTACATTATATTCAATAAAATGCTAGCTTTCTTCCTGTCATTCACAAATAATGATTTGATCGATGCAGGATCAGAGAAACTGCACCAGATCTGACAAGAACAGAAACAGATTGTTTGCTTCCACCAAAATTCACTCATATCCCATGATTCAAGAGTTCACAACGCATTGCCCAGCTGGTTCCTTCAGAATCTATTTTTTTTCCAAATATTTCCATTCCGTGCCTGTTGGCCCTCAAAAAGAAAAGCAAAAGCAACTGCACCTGCTGTTCTGCTTTCTGTATTCTGGATAACATGTTAAGGTAGACATTTTCCAGCTCACAGAGCTGTGCTGTTTAGACCCTGTGATATGAAATACAGTACATGCCTTTGCTTTTCATCTTCCCAGAGTCCTGTAATCAAATACAAACAGGAATCTATAGTCAGCACTACAGTGTGGACCTCATAAAAGCACTAACCACAGAGCAATCTGTTACCAGATGGCAATTTGTTGTCAAAGGTTGGATAACAAAATTAAATTCTACCTACTGCAGCTTGCTAATCAAATTCACTACCCTTAAAGCTTAACAGCCTTCTCTTTCAATTAAGTAACATATTTAAAAAGCCCAGTTGCTAATGCACTTGCTTTAGCTGCAAATGTAGATAAAAACAACAAAGATGGGTTCCACATATTAAATTACATATTGATAACATTGGAATAATAAAATCATAATTAACTCACACAAAACCTAACTCACACCAAAAAAGCTACTGTGCCAAACGGGAAATGTATCTAACCTTAAATTTGGATCTTTTTTTTTTTCAGTTGAAATATTCAGCATTAAATTGGACCATGCAGATTAATACATGACGAAACTCGGGAGAACAACTGTGTAACAACTGAAGTCATCTCAGCTTGCATCTTAAAAAAGTTCCCACTTAAAAACTTTAGAAATACTTGCTCAAAGCCCAGCTGTGTAAGAGCAGCTAGAGTCTGCAAGTGTGCCACTAAAGCTTGTGAAGATGTCAATAAAAGCCATTGACTGGATAATTTAAATTGTGGATTTACAGGCAGGCGGATACCCCATGGGATGTGTTATCTAAATCACAGTAGTAAAGGCTGCTCCAATAGGAGTTTATTAGGTTTGTGGCAGGTGCATGAAAGCACTCAATTAAGACAGCCCTTCTCTTCACTGACTGACCCCAGATTCTCTGCAGTATTAGAACTGCTCCCTGGAAATTAAAATAGAAAACCACTGCTGTTGAGGTGACATTCAAAATGTTCAAACGGGATAATGAAAAAAGGGTTATTTCTGCTAAATGACTAAATGAAATGTAAACATGAACATACTGTATTAGTGCTTACAGTACTTCTGGTACTGTAGCTATGGTAAAAAAAAAAACAATTTTATTTTACCATACAGATGAAAGCAAATGACAAGACTATATCACTCGGGCTATTTTCTGCACAATAATTGTGTTTTAGTCACAAATACAAGAAATTGTGCACAATTGCCACCAGAAGATTAATCATGATCTGTACAGTAAATGTCACTTATTGGACAATTATTTCCTGGTGTCTCTTTTCAAAATTCTCCAACCAAGCTAGGCTCCATCACATCGCCTCAGTAATTAATCTTCAATTCGCTCAAACCCAATTCTAGAACTGAAATTAACACTTCACAATAACTGAATCCATTAGTATCTTCTCACCAAAGTGTCCTGCTCCTTCAGATTAAGCATATTGTATGTGTATTTAACATTCTACCTCATAATTACAGTATAAAAACTACAGAGGCCCATAACTGTTAGATGGAAATAAGTTGCAAAATTGGGTTCTTATAATGTCTAAATAATAATATTTTAATTGATCAAATTCAAGTGATATGTGACACATTTAATTCAAATATATTTTTAAGTGTGTTCGTGCTCTGCTACAGAGGTAGTTGTTCTTAATAGCACTATACTCTCAACAAATAAGGCTGTTCCAAAAGGGTTCCTAATTATTTTTAATAACATCCATGCACACTCTCACAACCACCTTGAGCTTAATTCAAATGCTGCTCATGAGACATCTGTGGGCACTAGATAACAAATCAATGATCTAACCTTGTAAAGAACTGTAGTGTTTGCTGGAACCAGAATCAAATATGACAAGCCATCAGCATTCCTGTAAGCTCTCCCAAAGGGAACAAACACTTAGACTGAATCATC